ACCTTCGCCCCGCCCCTCAGTCGCTAAGCCCCGCCTTCCGCCGCAGCCTCCGGCCTGCCGTGCTCGGAGCCCCGCCCTTCAGGCTCGCGGTCCGCAGGTCCTCAACGGGCCCGCCCACCACGCTCGAGGCCCCGCCCTACGTCCCGGCCCCGCCCCGCGGCCCCTTTTAGGCGCAGTGTGGCTGGCCGGCCGCCGGGGACGCCTGGACCCTGGGCTGCCTGTACCCTGGGCTGCCTGTACCCTGGGCTGCGGCGGCGACGTCCAAGCGGAGGGTCTCCCGTAGCGTCCCTGCTGAGCCTGGACTCCCAATGGCCAGCTTACCGGCCGTGAGGCTGGGCGTTGCTCCCCCCCCCCGACACCATGGAAAAGTACCAGGTGCCGAGTGTCCCCCGCGGGGGCGGTAACGGTTCTCGCGGCGGGGGACCCCCCAGCCTCCGTAGGCGACCTCCGGGTCTGCTCGGCGCCCCGGCCTGGCTTCAGAGTCCCCCCCTGAAATCAACTCGGAGGGCGAGAACGGCCCCTTCCTTCCGCCGGGGCCCCTGGGCTAGGTCCACGGGCAGCCTGGGACCCGGAGCGCAGGCGGGAGCCCCGGAAACGCCCCAGCTCGCCGGACACAAAGGAGAGCCCAGAAGGTTTGGGGTTTGTTTCTGGCGGTCCTGAGGACCTTTGACCCCACGGGCCCTCTGCCACTGAGTTACACCCGGGCCCTTCCAGGTTTTTGAGACAGGGTCTCCCTAAAGTGCGCCGGCTGCCTCTTCCCTGCGATCTCCCAGTGCTAGGATTACAGGGTGCGCCACCACGCCCCGCTGCAGATGCAGTTTCAGGGCCTCGGTGCCTAACCTGCCAGCCTCATTACATATTCATGAACTAGTCAGAACAGTTTCACTAATAACGAGACAACTTGTAGGTGCGGTTTCCCTCCCTCTGGGAGGGTTCTCTGTGAGCAAGGGCTACGGAGGTGGCCGGTGGTAAAGCAGATGTGTTTCTGGTGACCAGAGCAGGTTTAAAGTTTTCAGAGGAAAAAAAGAATCGTGTCAGTCAGAGCTGTGGGTGCCTTTTACTGTGCGGCCTGGGGCCCCTCCTCGGGTCCTTGGGCTTGTGCTGCTCTGGACTTCATTCCCTGATTAGGGATCAGACGACCCACAGGGCCTGGGTGACAGAGTCCTTTTGGCTCCAAGGGTTCCGAGCACAGGCTTCCGCCCGAATCCCCTCTGCAGCCTTTCCCTTTTCCCCATAGCTGCCCTCCTCCAGCCCACAGGCCTCTGCAGAATTCTGCCTCGGTGGCTGTCTCTCTCCGGGTTGACCCTGGAGTTTTGATCCAATCTAAGCAGTTCCACTTATCAGTGCCACAGCCACAGTTTGGTGGCCCAGTTTCCTGCTGCATACACCTGAAGGCAACGACTGTGCAGACTGCATAGGGTGGCTGTGCCCAGGATGGCGCTGTCTTATTTGGATGCTCAGTTTGGAGGCAGATGCTGGGATTGCGGTGGTCTGGAGAGTGGATAAGGACCAGTGTGCTCCCAAGGGCTGGTGTCCTCCCTGCAGGCTAGGGAGAGGTGTGGGTTGTAGAAAGAGCCCCAGAATTGGCCTCAGAGAGATGAGCTCACATAGGGCTCTTCCAATGCGGGCTGCTAGGCTTCCTGGACCATTTCCTGCAGAGCAGATCTGGGGGACAGGCCATGGCAGAGCTGGGGGGACCAGTGCGGGCTGGGAGTCGGGAGTTGGTGCATGTGGAAGGTGCAGAGCGGTGTGTGTCTGCTGACATCCCTTCCTGGCAGATCTTGCAGGAGCTGAGTCCTGGCGCTTTGGGGGTGAACATGGTGGTGGAGGAAACAAAAACCAAAATCAAGCACGTGATAAAACAGGTCAGAGCCAAGCCCTGAGACCCTGTGGGGCGGTCCTGTGGCCATGCTTTTGCTAGTCAGAAGCCCTTCATGGCCAGGTTAGGGAAAGGCTTCCCAGCAGGCGGGAGGCACACCTGGTTGGGTAGATGGGACGCTGGAGCCAGATTTGCCAGCCTTCGTGCCTCGGCCCCCACCCTGCTGGGGAAGGAACTGCTTTGCCACACCAGCCACAGCCTCTGTCACCTGCTCATCCACGCCACGTGTCAGTCACTGATTGTCCCATCATCACTGGCTAGGGCAACAGGGCTTCCATTTTGCAGCCAAAGACAGTGAAGCTTAGGGCGCCCCATTGCCAGGACCCCACAGTTTTCAAGATTTGAATTCTGGGGGACACAGTGCTCCTTAGTACAAGGTCACCTGTTTTCCCAAAAGGGAGCCAGGGCCAGAGCTGGGGGGGGACAAGCCATGGTCCCACAGGGCTGAGGGCAGGACAGGGGACCTCTTCACCAGGGCCAACACCTGGGGTGGCGTGCAGCCTACAGGGGCACACCCTTGTGTCCCCAGGCAGTGTCTGAGGGAGGGGAGCTGCTGTCAGTGTCCCCAGAACACACTTCCCTGGGGTAGAGGTGGGGACACAGTGGCATCCGGCTGGCCTTGTAGGTGGGTGGGCCTCGTTGGCAGCCCCTGCACTGCCAGGCCTCCCAGGACTCGTGTCTGTGCACCTCCGAAGCCCCGCTGCCAGGCAGCTGGCCCTGGGGTCCCTGTCCACCCCCGTTTAGCTGCTGGCTGTGGGGTCGCACCTAGTCTAGCCAGGGTGGCTCACTTCACTGGCAGTTAAGGAACTTTTGAAAAGGTTTTCTTGGGGAGCCGTGTAGGTAGGAGCTCATGTATCTTTCTAGCCTTTTTTCTAACCATCTGTAAACTTCTTTGTTTTTACAAGAATGGTACAGCTGAAAGTGGTAATTGGCAGTTTCCCCACCTAATTAACGGTGAACATTGCCCTGCATCATTACCAGAGCTCCCTCTTCTCCCGGTCTCGTGGCTGTGTGATGTCCCGTCCTGCTCATGTGCTGAAGCTGGCCAGCCAGTCCCCTCCTGGAAGATGAGCATTTAGCTTGTTCTCAGTTTTCCCTTAGTATAAACCACTCTGATAAACATCTTAACAGTTTTCTTCCGTGAGCACCCATAACGTCCTTAGGAAATTCCCTGGGAGTGGGATATCTGGGCCTTTCTTTCTTTCTTTTTGGTACTGGGGATTGAACTCAGGACCTTGCACTTGTGAGGCAGGTGCTGCACCACTGAGCTACATCCTCAGCCCTCTTTCTGGGCGTTTCTAAGTTTCAGTGTGTGTTGACTGGCTTCCCCTACTCTTGAAGGTGGCAGTGATGGGGTGGTCGTTGGTGGTGATGGTATGCTACAATGACAGCACAGCGGTGGCAGTGGCTCACCACAGCTTCACTGATCCGGCGCTCCTGTGCCCCTGCAGGTGCAGTGCATGGACCATCGTCATGCCAGCCAGGCCCTGGAGGAGGTACCTCTTGGGGAATGGAGCATGGTGCCCAGAGGCTCTGCTCTGTCCCTCTCATGGGGGCGGGATGAAGTGATCCAGGAGGGGCTCAGGCCCAGTTCTCCCTGGTCACAGGGAGCCCCAAAAAGAACTGCCCCGTACATGCAGGTGCTGACAGCCAGGAGCTTGGGGTCCCGGAGGAGATGGGGGAAGTGTTGTAGCGGCCACTGATCCACCAACAGCCATCTTCAAAGTGATTGTTTTCCTTCAGGCTGGGGTGCAGCTCAGTGGCAGAGCACTGCCTGGCAGGCAGAGGCCCTGGGTTCCAGGCCTAACGCTGCACACACACAAAAAAGCTTTTTTTCTTTAATTACAAAAATATTAGTTACTGTAGAAAATTTGGAAAATACAGAATTGTTTACCAAAGAAAATGTAAATCACCCATAACTCTACCACCCAGGACTGACTAGTGGCCACATCCTTATTTACAATAATGGCAGTCATCAATTTTGTGTTGTTGCTTTTGTGTTTTGAGAGAAGGTCTCGCTATGTAGCTCAGGCTGGCCTCAAACTCACAGTGATCCTCCTGCCACAGCCTCCCGAGTGCTGTGATTATAGGGGTGCGCCACTATTCCTGGCTGGCAATTATCAATTTAATAGACAGAGGTTCGGAAGAGTTCCTTTTGTGTGTGTGAGGTACTAGGGATTGAACCCACAGAGTGCTGAGCTACACTCAGCCTTTTTTAAAAAGAATTTTTCTTTTGTGAGACAGTCTTGCTAAGCTGCCCAGGCTGGTATCAAACTTTCAGTCTTCTTGGGGCTGGGGATTTAGCTCAGTGGTTCTGCCGCCTGCCTCACAAGCACAAGGTCCTGAGTTCGATCCCTGGTACCAAAAAAAAAAAAAATTGAAAACTTTCAGTCTTCCTGCCTCAGCCTCCCAGGGACTGGCTACAGCTGTGTGCTGCTGGCCCAGACCTGAGTAGTGTTTCTCTGCCTTCCTAGTGTTACTGTGGGGGTGAAGCGTGTGCCCTCCTCCTGGTCACATTGTTTTCCTCTCTGCAGTCGCTACCCCTGTCCTTCACCAGCCAGGGCCTCTGGTGTCCACAGTGTGGCTGAGTGTGGACAGACATGTGGGGAGGAGGATGCAGAGGCGCCTGCAGCCCCTACACCCCACGTCGCCCTCTGCCGGGGGCCTGAGGGTGCCGCTCCCCACGCCTGAGTTGCTTTCAAAGCATTGTTGGGGCGAGGCGTCCCGAGGCTCTCAGTGGACCCTGCCCTTGGCTGCACCTCCCCTTCAGCCAGCCCTCCTGGCTCCCCTCCCATGCACCCCACTCCACAGCCCTCGCTACCTGCAGGCCCTGGCTGAGAGGCAGCATCCACGCTGCCCCTTTCCGGTCCAGTTTCATTTTCTCGAGGTTTTTGCCGTGCAGAGAATGGGACCCTGGACCTGTCGCCAGGCCTCGAGCTAGGCAAGCGCTCACCGCTGAGCCCAGCACCACTTCCAGGCAATGCTGGGAGGCCCGGAGAGGCTGGGGAGCTGGCCTCTGTCGCACAGCACAGCTGTACACGCTGGAGACAGGACTCCCCAGGCCACTCCCCACCCTGCCCGTCCTGCCGCTGGTGACTGTGCCGGCCCCGTGGCTGCAAGCTGCTCCCCTGACCTCCCTGCACTCTGCTCTACCCCACAGATAAGGCCACTGCTGCAGCTCCGGCACCCCCACATCTCCATGTGCGAGGAGGTCTTCCAGATGTGGGACAGCAAGGTGGGTCGGGAAGGTCGGCAGTCACCTAGTAGGCTGCACCCCGGCACTGACTCCAGCCAAGGCCACCCTGACCGGGCTCTTGCTGGGCTGGCCCCATGCTGCGGGCTCACACCAAGTCTCCAGTGAGCCCCAGCTGCACTTGCAGAGGAAGGGACTGAGGCGACTGGCAGGGCCCTGGGGGGCCCAGCTGGTGTGTGGCCAGGGTGGGCGGGTACCCTGCCCCGTGTCGGGGCAGCTCCAGGCTCGGCCCACAGCAAAAGTCTGAGTGAGTCTGTGCCTCTGGGAGGTTTCGAGCCCATGGAAGGGGCTGGCCCGGGAAGCTGCCGGGTCATGGTCATCCCGCCCCCAGCCCTACCCGCAAGGCTTCTGCAGGTCTTCAGCCAGCTTCTCGCCCATGCCCATCATGGTGCTCCAGGAGAGCTTCTGTCCTGGTGGGGCTGGAGCTCAGAGAGGGCGAGGCACTCCCCAGGGTGAACAGCTGGGCTTCGCAGCTGAGCCCCGCATCCAGTCCCAGTGCCTCTTCACAAGGAACCAGAGCCCTCCAGATGGGACTGAGGTGGCGGGAGGGATGCTGAGCGGGCACTGGCAGCCAGAGGGGACCCCAGTGCTGCCTGTCAGGACGTCTCACATCAGTGACCCCAGCTGGGGCCACTCCCTCCCCCTGCCTCCCCATCAGCTGGGCCCAGAGGTAGCCCTGGGTGGGGCTCACTGTGTGCACCCCAGGGCTCTCAGAGAGGGGCAGAGCCCTAAGAGGACGTTTCACCACAGGGAGTCCCGAGATGGCCCTGCTGCATCTGCTGGGCCCTGGGCAGGGAGGCTCCACAGAGGACGTGGGTCACTGCTGGGGGGGCAGGCGTGGTCACCCCAGCCCAGGGGCCACGAGGTCACCAGCCAGCAGTGGGCAGTACGGATGGAGCCTGGAGCGATGGGCGAGACGGGCCCCAGAGGGCGCTGCTGGTGGGCCTGTGGATGGTGGCTGCCGGAAGGCCTGTGCCGGGGACACCACCCGAGGGCCTTGAGGCCCGCAGGTGTCCTCCATGTTCCTCTGCCTGGTGATGGAGTACAGCCTGGAAAGCTTCCAGGACGTCATTGAGTCGAAGAGGGAAGAGAAAGCCCTCATCGACTCTGAGGTAAGACCCATGACCCCACAGCCCCGCAGAGGGGCCGAGAGGCAGAGGGAGGGCAGGCGCCCGGAGCCAGGCCTTGCGTCCCCCAGGAGTGTGCGGCCACAGACCTGAGCTGCACAGTGAGGACCACGCGTGTGCACTCCGGAGGGGCCTGGGCGTCCCCGCAGCCCCGTGATCCTGAAGGACACCAGGTGGGCCCAGGCAGCTTGCAGGCACGTGTCTGAGTGGATGTCGCTGCCTGAGCCCGTCATGCCCCAGGCTGCGGCGCTATGTGTCTCTCCCAGAGCTGACCCCAGCTGTGCCTGTCCCGGTGCCCATGCTTGCTTCCACTTGGGGCCGCTTGGCTGTGGGCTGAGTTTCTTAGGGCTTTAATTTGCACCTGCCATTTGGGTTTTGTGCCTATTCAGGCGTTTTGCCCATGTAAACATTTAGGTGATGCCTGGTTCTTTTTTTGGCACTAGGATTTGAACCCAGGACCTTTGGACTCAGCTACATTCTTGACCCTTTATATATATATTTTTTTCTTGGCACCAGGGATTGAACTCGGGACCTTGCGCTTGTGAGCCAGGCTAGCGGCACCACTGAGCTAAATCCCTGGCCTCCCTTTTTTCCTTCATTTTTTTGAGACAGGGTCCTGCTGAGTCACTGAGTTGTGAAGGCTGGGCTTGAACTTTCAGTCTTCCTGCCTCAGCCTCCCAGAATGCTGAGATAACAGGCATGCGCCCAGCTTCCAGGAGTTCTTTACACATCCTGGACTGAGTGTCAGGGCGTCTGCCCCCACCCTTAGTCCTTAGCCGGCCGAGTCACTTGCTTAATGACATCCTGTGATGGGCAGAGGTCCTAGTGGCGGGGAAGTCCACACGATCAATGTCCCCCCTCACTGTTGTCAGCCTGTCCTGTGTCCTGGTGGCAGCAGCCTTTCTCACACTGCGGTTCTGAGGCACTGTCTGCTTTCTTCCAGAGCCTGGGTTAGTCCCTTTTGCCCTTGGTCTAGGATCTGCCCCACGTGACTCCACCTGCATTTCTCTGAGTTCTGCTCTGAGGGTGTGAGGGGGCTCCATCTGGGGGTTGAGGTGGCTCCATCCGGGGTGTGGGGGGGCTCCATCTTGGGGTGCGGGGGCTCCATCTGGGGCCATGAGCCCAGTTCTGGGAGGAGCCTCCCAGGTAGCTCTGGGTACCTTTTCTGGGTGTCTGGGAGGCACAGATGTTCAGGACCCTGAAGGACTCTGTTTGGTGTGGAGGATGCCGGGAGTCGTGGCACTCAGCCTCCCTGACCCCCTGGGTGCCCTGGAAACTCTGACGTGGGGTCCGGGGATCCTAGGACACCCTGGAAACCCCTGCTCCAGATGCCAGATGGAGGTCATGTCACATGGAGTCTTCCAGGTGACCTCTCTCGGGCTCTTTCACTCAAAGGACAGAAAGGCTTCGGAGTCTCTAGTTCCCAGCAGAGCCTCTGCCTTGAGCTCCCAGTGTGGGGCAGCATGGGCGCAGAGAGGCCTCTGTGGTGCCATGTGGGCTGGAGCCCTGGGCACTGGCATCCCCAGCAAGCGCTGTCCTGCCGGCCGCTGTGAGGAGCCCCTGACCACGACCTGCCTCTCCCCAGTGGCTGCAGGTGATGCTGGTCCAGGTGCTGAACACGCTGGAGTACCTGCACCACCTGGACATCCTGCACACGTGATGCATGGCTGCAGGAAGTGTGGGACAGTGCACCGACAGGCAGATATGCTGCCCAGGGGGAGCACGGGGTGGGGGTCACAGGTTTGAAGGGGCTGCCAAACTGCTCTGATTCCATGCATGTGCTTCTTATTTAGAGGTAAAGAGAAAACTCACGAGGGGCCTGTGCGCACAAAGGGGGCACTCATTTAACCTCCTCAGTCCCACACAGTGGTGGAATCAGACCCCTGGGACTCCGTGGCTGAGACCTGTCAGGGGTGCACACCGGGCTATCTGAAACTTGGGATTCTGCTTCAGCCTCCCAGAGTGCTGGGGTTATAAGCATGTGCTCCTGTGTGTGGCTAGGAAACGATGTTTACCAAGTGGGCTGAGACGGGGCATTTTCTGGAGGAAAGAGAAGGGATGGGGTCAGGAGTAGCCTGAGCACATGTGGCCCCCAGGAGGGGTCCCCAAGCCGCCCTGTGGGCCCAGGTGCTACCTCTGGGTTACAGGAACCTCAAGCCCTCCAACATCGTCCTGGTCAGCCAGAACCACTGCAAGCTGCAGGACCTGGGCTGCCATGTGCTGATGACCCACCGAGCCAAGTGGAACGTCCGCTCGGAGGAAGGTGACCAGGGTCCCCCCGGCTGGGAGAGGGTGCTTCGAGGGGCGGCCCTGAGCATTGCAGGTGGGCCATGGCTGCGGGTACTGAGCTGTCCACCCGGAAGGCTGCCATGCTGGGCGTGGACTCCAGAGATGCCCTGGCCTGGGCTGCAGCTGGGCTGCAGCGCTGCCATGGGGACTGGGTGCAGGGTCCAGCCCTGAGAGGAAGAGCCTGGGGAACGGGGTACCGGCTGTGGCGCCCATGAAACTGTTAGCCCTTGTTGGGGAAAACAAAGCTCCAGAAAGAAGGAGACTGAAACGGGGGACAGAGGGCCCATGGGGTGTGGGCGCTGGCTATGCATGGTACTGTACTGAGGCCTGAAATGGCCCAGGAGATGGTGGGGGTGGGCATGGGGGATGAGTTCTCTTTATCTGAAAAGAGAGCAGGGAAAATGGAGCTGGGCCTCATTCCTGTGACAGCAGTCCCCAGTGGGCAGAACAGCCACGCGGAATTCCAGAGCCCTTAGGTAGCAGTGCCTGGGTGGCACTGTCCTTGGTACACAGAGGCTAGATGGGTGGGTGGCTAGATGGGTGGTAGGGTAGATCTATGGATGAGTGAATGACAGGATGGATGGATGGATGGTAAGCTATATGGATGGGTGCAAGGTAGCATAAATGCATGGATGGATGGATGGCAAAGATATGAATGGGTGGATTGTAAGATGGATACATGAGCAGTAGGATATATATATATACATATATATACACATATATGGGTGGGTGGGAGGATGGATGCATAGATAGATGGTAGGATATATGGATGGATGTAGGATATATGGGTGGGTGGGTGGTAGGATGAACAGATGTGTATAAGTAGATGGATGGATTGATGGAAGGTGGAGAAGGTATGGAACCCTGGAGAAAAGCTGTTTGGGTGGGAAATGGAGGTCTATAGAGGGAAGAGCTGCTGGAGCCTGAGCAAGGACTGACAAAGCTGGCCTGAGGACCCCGCTCTTCTGGTTCTTTCTCTGGGGTTCAGGGTTAGAAACTAGGGGAGCTGGAACTTGGCCCAGGCTCCTAACATTTGGAAGGAGAAGATGTTGAAAGGGGCAGATGTGAGCCTTCTAGGCATATTCCTCTCCCTGCTCCTGCAGCCAGCATGGGCACAGACACCCACACCTGGGCAGCCTGGTGGACAGTGAGCAGGATGGGCATTCTCCATGGCTGAGGCCCATGTAGAGGCCTAGCTGAGCAGGGGCCTCTTCCTGCCCACAGCAAGACCCTCTCCTGTCTCCCCAGCTTGTATCTCAAGCTGCTTACTGGGGCACAAGAAGGGGACAGAGCCAGGTCAGCATGGCCTCACCCTGCCTTCCCCCCAGGGAGTCCAGGACTGCGTGGGTCCCCCTTTCTTGCCAACAGACTCCTGTAAGAAGTCCTGGATGGCCCCAGAATCCCTCAGCTTCTCCTTCAGCCAGAAGTCAGACATCTGGTCCCTGGGCTGCATCATCCTCGACTTGGCCCGTTGCTCTTTCCTGAATGTGAGCTGCCTCCCACCCAAGTACCCTGCTCAGCTCCTGCTGGGCTCTCGCGAGGACGCTCACCCCAGCCATACATGTGCCTCAGCCCTGCCCGACTGCCGAGGATACCCCATCTGGGTGCCCTGGCTGGTGTTCAGGATGCCGGGGGGCTGTGGCCTGTAGCGTGGGTCTGAACCCACCGGCTGCGCATCACACACAGCCCACAGGTTTGAGGTGCCAGCTGTCTCTGTGCAGCCTGGCGGGCGGGTGGCTCCCTCTTGTCCCTGCTTGGATCGTGCTCCAGGACAGAGAGGAGGGGACAAGGGGCCAGGCCCTTATGTGGCTGTGGAGCAGAGCCCAGGCTACAGGGAAACAGGAGCGCCAGGCCCAGTGCATGTGGTGCCCAAGTGCAGACAGCCCTGGCCTCCCTTTCCACACCAGGCACAAGCTGGGCCCCAGCGTCCCTGCCTGTCCCAGACCCCAGGCCGCACGCACCTCTGAGAAGCACCGTGCCTTCCGTGCCTATGGACAACTCCAGGGGAACCCCACCCCTGGACTAGGTGACCTTGGGCACTGCCACTTTCTGGCCCTCTTACAAGCTGGGTCCAGATAGGACAAGCCCAGTGGTCCCCTGTCTCCCTCCCTGACCTCCATCTCTCCATAGAGGAGCTCCGGGCTCTTGTGGCCTCCGGCTGGCCTCTGATCCCCTCGGGGTTTTCCTGGTCCTGGCACCTCCCCTGCCTTTAACCCCACCACAGAAACACACAAAGCAGAGCTCTCTGTCCTTGCAGGGAGTGGAAGCCATGGACCTGCGGAAGTCCCTCCGCCAGCAGCCAGGCAGCCTGCGGGACATACTGGAGACCATGGCGGAGAGGCAGGTCCCCTTGATGGACACCTTCTCCTTCCTCCTGCCTGCGATGCTGCAGATCAACCCCTCGGACTGGGTAACCCTCAAGTGAGCTCAGGGCATGGTTTGTGTCTGACTCCACCCTAGCACAGTGAGGGTGCTGGCCTTCCTGCACCTCGAGAACACCGTCCTGATGTCCCTGCATGGCCTCAGGCTGCCCCAGCCTGGCTGTCCACACGGCACGGCAGACAGGGCAGCGAGCCCCTGCACACTGTCGGGAGCTGGCCACATCTCCACCAGGACAGGGTGGGGTGCAGCCCAAGTCCAGGAAAAAGTTTTAATCCTAATTTAAAATCAGACAAGAAAAGCCACAGATGAGAAAAGCATTGGTCCCTATACCAACACAGTCATAAAATTTGTTTCTGTTTTTATGGCGGGAGGGGTCCTGAAGCCAAAGCCCAGGGCCCAGGGGCGGCCCTGTGCCTCTGCAGAGGAAGCGCTTGCAAGTGGAAGTGCCAGACACTTGCTGGGCCTGGGGCATCGTGAGAGATGCAGCCAGACAGATTCTAACTCAGGAGGCTGAGGACCAGGAAGGCCGAGGCCGGGGCCAATGGGGGAGCCACCGCAAGGGCGGAGTCTGCCCCTCTGCTAGGGATGTGGTCCGCATCACCTTTGGGAGGAGCTCGCTTAAGTCCTCGACCCTGCCTGGGCCGTTGATACCTGAGGCCATCACCAGCGTGCTACTGGAAGGCAGCATGGCCAGCATTCTAGGTGACGGTGGCAGAGGCACGCGTCGGCGGCTGCGGCGGCCCTGTATCCACGCCTCCCCCGTGCCGTCCCAGTGCCTGCTCCTCGCCCCAGCCCTCCTGCTCCACCAGAACCCAGCACCGCTGTGCTCAGGGTGCTGCCCCCCTCAATACCCTGCGTAGCTCCCAGGCAGGGCCCGCCCGTTTCACCCCCGTCCCGGCTACACCAATGGCTCTGCAGCTCCAAGGCCAGGCCCAGGCCACGCTGCTGCTCCTGTGTACTGTGTGGCTCCTGTGCTCGGCGCAGTGGCTCCCAGACTGGGCTCCCGCCGTGGAGGTCTCCCCTCTGGGCAGGACTAGGGCCCTGAGCAGGCCCCGCCCTCCTGTCCAGCCACCCCGAGGTCCGGCTCAGAGCCATGAAGAAGCTCTTGTCCATGCCTGAGGACCAGCTCGGTAGGGGCCGCCCAGGCTGCTCATGCTCCCAGGAGGCCTATGGCTGGGCCACCTGCTCGGGACTCTCCCTGCTGCCCCTCCCACGGGTGGAGAAGGGCGGGTGAGTCTGCCCGCCATCCCTGTCCCTGTGATGGGCACGAGCCGTTTCTCATCATCCCCTCCTGCAGCCTGAGTGCTTGTGTGGGGAGGCGGCAGGCCGCGCTGCACGGACACACCAGCTCACACGCAAGTCCCCAAGAGCACCCTTCCCGCCCTCCTCATGAATGTTGGTGATCTCAGTGATTTTTTTTTGAGACAGGGTCTCCCTGTATAGTTCAGGCTGGACTTGAACTGGTGGTGATCCTCCTGCCTCAGCCTCCCGAGTGCTGGGATGACAGGCATGGGCCACCATGCCTAGCTCCTCAATGATTTTTAAAGTGTTTTTGCCAAAATCTGCTTTCCCAAGGTCTCTCCACTTAGCTGGACATGACGGTGCATGCCTGTAATGCCACCTACTTAGGAGGCTGAGGCAGGAGGACTGTGAGTTTGAGACCGAGCTGGGCAACATATGAGGCCGTTTCAAAGGAAAACAAAGCACTTGGGCTGTCTCACCTGCCCGGTGTCACGTTCACACGCCCATCAGTCCACCCTTCCATCCAGCCGTCTGTCCCTTCCCTCCCTCTGCCCCAGTCTACCCAGCCACCCACGGAGGTCTGTCCCAGCAGCTGGGGCTTCAGAGGGCACGGTGCCGCCCTGGCCCTGTACCCCCTTTCTGTGCAGAGCTGGGACCAGGATGGAGGGGGGGCGGGGCAGGGAGCGCTTTCCTTCCTGAGGAACAGGCTGTCAGGTCCCCCTGGGGAGCAGCCTGCCCACCCCTGCCACACAGCCTGGCTTGGTGCTGGGTGTGCTGTGGCTCCTCACTACGAGGAGACGGCCAGGAGGACGAGGCGGGAGGGCCATGGGGACTGGACCCGTGTCACCTAGCGTGTGTACACATCTCTGGGCCTGGCTGGCTCTTGGAGGGCAAGTGCCTTCCTCTTGCCAGCCCTCTTTCTTTTCGTTTTTGGTTTTCTGAGATAGGGTCTTGCTGTGCAGTCCAGGCTGGCCTCTAACTCACAGCGATGCTCCTGCCTCAGCCTCCCGAGTGCTGGTGGCAACTGGCTGCCACCCTGTTTTCTCATCTGAGAAGTGCGGCCGTGGGAGAGGAAGAATCTGCCTCCTGGGGCTGCTGGGAGCACAGGCCTGGGCGAAGCTTGGCGTGGTGTTGGCATCTGTGCTCCCAGCACGCGGGAGGCTGAGGCAGGATCGCTTGAGCTCATGAATTCAAGAGAAGCCTGAGCAACGTAGTGAGACCCTATCTCTTAAAAAAATTAAGGCAACTTTTGATCTGGGAGTGTAGCTCAGTGCCGAGTGCCTGCCTAGCATGCACGGGGCCCTGGGTTCTGGCCCCGGCACTGCAAGAAAAAAAGAGATGCCTGGGCAGCCTGGATCAAGCACTCAGGAGACACGGGCCAGTCCCCTTTGCCCTCTGTTCACATGCCCAGCCCCCATGTCCTGTCCTGTGCACCCCGCCCTGCAGGGCTGCCATGGGCCCTGGAGCTGGTGGAGGTGGTGGTCACCACCATGAAGCAGCAGGAGAGGATCCTGGACGTGCAGCTGTGCGCCAGCACCTTGCTGCTGTGCATCCTGGGCCAAGGTGGGCGTGGCCGGCCCGAGGGTCCCTCCCGCAGGGTCACCCCCCCTCCCCCAGCCTGGGCGCTGAGCCTCGGGCCTGGAGTCTGGAGAGAGGCCCGGGGTGGGACAGGGTCCCCTCTCTGACGCGCTGACAGGCAGGTGGGCTGCATCCCCAGGCGGGGCTGTTGCTGCCCGGGGAGGGGTAGCACTGAGCTCTCTGGCCACGGAGAGGCCCTGCAGCTCTGGATGGTGGCGATGGCTTAGCTGACTCCCGTTTTTACACCTTTACTATTCAGCTACCTTTCCAGCTTTAATACTGAGGGTTCAGTTGCCACGAGCCGTTGAGATTTTTTTGTGGTGCAAGGAACCCTAGTCCCCCTTCCTGCTAGGCAAGGACGATGCCAGAGAGCTGCAGCCGGGCCTGATGGTGTTCAGTGTTGCCTCTGGCTTGTCTCAGAGTGGCAGGCTCTTGGACGCCAGCATGGGCCATGATGCCGCAGGGTGGCTGGGAACTCGGGCACACCCCTGGCCCTTGGTCCTCCGCTCCCCGTCCGGGGCCTGGGGCCAAGGTGGCCCTGGGTTTCCTGACCCCAGGTGGAGCTGCTGCCCCACACCCAGCCCTGGGCTGAGCCCTTCTCTGCCCCCGCAGCGCTGGTGTGGGACACGGACGTCAAGGTGTCCTGGGACAGCTCCTTCAGCTCCACGCTGCTGAGCGCCATGCGCAGGCACCCTGACTCGACGCAGCTCATCATCAAGGCCTGCAGCCTGCTCACCATCATCTCCAGCCACGGTGGGTGCTGGCCCTGCTGGCCCTCCTGCCCACACCCGGGAGCTAGGCACGCAGCCTGCCGTGGGTGGCTCAGCTGCACGGCCCACACGGTTCTGCCCGACCTCGACACCCCTGGGCCCTCTCAGATGTGCAGACATGGGCTACACACTGGCGTCCACCCACGTTCCCGAAGCTTTGCTCCTGCTGGGCTCTGAGCTGCAGCCAGGCTGGGCCCGGTGGACAAGCGGTCACCAAGGGCTCACAGGGACGGCGACGCCCTCCATACTCCTCCCAGCCCACTGTCCACCCCACCCCAGGAGACGAGCCCACTCTGGGAGAGGCGTCAGCTAGAACATCCATCTAGGCCAGCCAGATGCTGGGTCACCGTCCACTGTGAAAGGACACAGCGTCCCTCTAGGAAGGCAGGGCCCAGCCCCCTCAGTGGGCTGCCACAGCAGGTGGACCTGCCTGGTAATGGGGTGGTGGGCCCAGAAATGGACAGCCCACCCCGGGCCAGCCCGCCCCCATCTTTGGGTTCCACGAGGACATGAGCCTGGCCCCGGCAGGCCCCCAGTAACGTGGGTTGGAGGGGACTGTGGTGCCCAGGGTGGCGGGCGAGGTGGCACCTGGGAAGGCTTCTGGAGGGCTCTGTCCCTTGCCACCCGCAGAGTCGGCTTCTCAGGAGCTGCAGAAGGTCGGGCTGTGCGAGCTCGTCCTGCAGCATCTGAGCAGCTTCCTCCAGGACCAGGACGTCTGCCTCAGTGGCCTGGGCCTGCTCTGGGCGCTCCTGGTGGATGGTGAGGCTTCCTCCTGGCCCCACTGCCACATTGCCAGGGTCCCCTTGAGGGTGACACTGCCCCAAGGGCTCCTCAGAGCTTGGTCCAGCAGCAGATGGGGGCAGGGGAGGGAGGGGGCTTTGGGGCTCAGCTGCGAGCTGATGCCCCGCCCTGACTTCTGATGCAGTCGGGCCCCAGGCCCATGCTGGCCCCTACCAGGCCGTCTTGGCGCTCCAGTGGGCAGGGAGGGCTCCAGGCTGGCGGGCAGTCCCTTCCCTCCAGGGTCCCAGGGGTGGAGAGCCCATCTCTCATCTCCGAGATGTCCTTTCCGGTTTCCACTCTGTGCTGTCTGACGGGAGCAGGGGGCGGGGCAGGAACACAGCATGCACCTGAGCTCCATCTGTGTCCTGGATCCAGCCGTCATCATGAACAGAGAGCCCTTGGAGAAGTTCCTGGGCCTGGTGGCCCAGGTGCTAGCCACCCACCCTGCTGACATGGACATGGCCGAGGCCGGCTGCGCAGTGCTCTGGCTGTTGTCCTTGCTGGGTGAGTGGCCTGGGGCCTGGGGAGTGGAAGGCCACCTGGACACGGCTGGGGATGATGAGGCCCTGTGCTCTGCAGGCTGCATCAGGGAGGAGCAGCTGGAAGAGGTGGTGCTGTTGTTCCTGCAAAGCATCCAGCTGGGCCAGGGCAGGGTCCAGCTGGTGAACAATGCCTACCGGGGCCTGGCCAGCCTCGTGAAGGCATCGGGTGAGCAGGGGCTGGCACGGGCTGCCACCTGCAGGTCTGTCAGGACGGGGAGGCTGAGGACCGAAGGCAGAGGCTCAGCCCAGGAAGTGGGGGTCTCTGAGATCCAGGGAGCAGGCCCTGGGGGCAGCCTGGGTGGAACCAACCCACGTGGCATTCAAGGCACCTCACCTTTGGGAGGCTGATTCCTCTGGGAAGGGCGTATAGGCGCTGCATTCCCCTTGGGAGTGAGAGAAGTCACAGCAGGCGTCAAGGCCAAGGCCTGACCTCACACAAGATGCCTCATGACTCTGGCACCCCAACATCTGTGCCGAGCGGACCCTGCAGGAGCAGAGCCTTTGCACCAGGTAGTGGGTGCAGAGCTGCACTCAGGAAAATGGTGCAGAAACGGCCTTTCCAACAATCCACACTGGGCAGGGAAGAGCTGGGCCCTGCCCCCAGCACTGCACTCTGAGACCCAGTGAAATCTGTGTCACCATCACCCCATCTCCCAGTTACCCTGGAGCTGAGGCTCCCGCCTCCCTCCCAGAGCTGGCAGCCTTCTGGATGGTGGCGCTGGAGGAGGGCAGCAGTGGCGGCCTTAGCCTGCTGCAGGCGACCTACTGGCTCTACAGGGACGACCCCGAGGTGGTGGAGAACCTGTGCTTGCTGCTGGCCCACCTCGCCTCCTACAGTGAGGGCCCTGGGCCACCCTGCAGGGAGCCCGCGGGCGGGCGGGAAGGAGCCCCATCCATGCCCGGTGCTGCTTGCCGAGGGGATGTGCAGGGCACAGGCCCTGGGTGGCACTGTCCCAGCCTGAGTGGCCTCTCCGCTCCCCCGCAGAGGAGATCCTGCCAGAGCTGGAGTACAGTGGCATCAGGGCCCTGGCCCAGGACATCCAGGGCTGCTTCCCCTCCAGCCTGGTGAGTGCCAGGCTGGGGCCACTGCCTGGAGCCAGCCCTCCCACTGGAGCCCTAAGGACTCGTCAGTGCAGCCCCACGATGGCCAAAATCGAAGCTGTGGGGTGTAGTCAGTCACCAGCCCCGTCAGTCTGTGGCCACTGGGGTACACGCCCTGTAGCTGTCAGCGACAGGCGACCTGCTGTTTCCCTCCTCCAGGAGCTGGTTTCTTACGCAAAAAAAGTGCTCCTGAGCCTGGAGACGACTGCAGCCCATGACCTCTCAGGGGATCTCCCTGCCCCGCCCTGAGGACCCCCATTCCCATCCTGGGGTGGGTATGGGAGAAGGGTCACTGCCGCCCTGACTAATAAAGCCCGAGGCTGGCTGCCAGTGGCCCAGTCCTGGCTGGTGTGGCTCTGGAAGGGTCTGAACACAGGGAGAAGCCACACCTCCACAGTGCCGAGTGTTTATTCGTGGCTGGGGTTTGAGCCCAGGGCCTGGTGCATGCTGGGTAGGCCTCACGAGCCTGTGGCACCGGCTGTGGGCACCATTTCGGCACAGCAGGCAACGGGCTGGGCTTGGGCTTTACTCACCCATGTGACAGCCACCCCAACCCGCCCTGGACCCGGGGCCCGCCAGCACATGGCCCGCTGGAGCCCACAGCCTTCCCACTCAGGCCAGGGGAGGCGCCGGCTACGGTGGCCGAGGCTGAGTCTAGCTGGTGGGTACAAGTCTGCTGGGTGCCGGCCTGCGGCAGCCCTGCACCAAATGAAGTAAATGGGAGTGAGGGGCCAGCACGAAGCCCCCTCCAGGGCCCAGCACGAAGCCCCCTCCAGGGCCCAGTGGCCGCAGGAAAGTCCCTAGCGAGGCAGCTGCTGTGCCAGCTCTCTGCACATCAGCCGCTGCTGCAGGCGCCTGGCCTAACCCCCTTGGGCCGGCACAGCCTGTCCCCTTACCCATGGCCAGAGGGCAAAGTGGCCTCAGAGGAAGCCGTCGAGCACCAGGCTGACTGCCATAGCTCATCAGAGCAGCAGGGCAGCCAGGCATGGCCCTTCCCTCGGTGGTCAGCAGCCGAGTCCTCAGGGCTGGGTACCGACTCCTGGTTGTGCCTGGGACACACACCTCGCCCCTCCCCTCCCCTGCATGCCCTACCCCTTGCCGATGCAGTCCAGAGGGAGGCCGGTCCAGCAGCCTGGCACCATGCTGGGACCCTGGCCTTGGAAGCGGCTTGCTGGAGCTGCTGCTTTCCAGAGACGAGACTGGTCCCACAATCGGGTCCCATGCTGGGGACAGAGGCAGATCCACAGGGCGGAGGGCAGGGCTAGGCGTCTTCTCTGCGGCGGTCCTGGGCAGGGGCTGGGGGGTGCCTGTCCCGGACAGTGTTCTCCCAGTCCCTCTTCACCATGACGTACAGCCTCATTGCTGCCTGGGCATCCTGGATCTGAAGGAAATGCAACCATGCTGACCGACCAGCGGGGACCACGCGTGGCCGCAGCCCCTGACTGCTGAGCCCTTCGTGCCAGGTTGTCCTGCACTCTGGGGACCTGGGTGTGCCCATTTGCCGGGGAAGGAAGGGAACCCCAGGTGGAGGGGCAGAGGCCTGGCCCTGCCAGGTGCATCGGGTGACCCTCATGACCATGGCTGTGTGCTGGGGTATGGCACTGAGGCATGGAGGGGTGGGGGGCTGGACGGTCCTGTCTGCCCAGGGTTTGTGGTCCAGGGGCCTGGGGCCAGTGCCGAGGGCTGGGACTCATCCCCAGAGCCCGTTAGGTCTTGTGGAAGACCTGTTACACGGCAAGTACTGTCCCCTCTCACTTCCTGTGTGGCCAGGCCACGGGATTGCTGTCCTCCCGCAATCTCCTCACCATGAGGCCTGCCTCCAGACCCAGTGCCAGCGCCGTGCCTGTGAACTCCGGAAGCCAAATAAACCTCTTCTCTTCATGAACTACCCAGCCTGAGGCCTTTTGTTATTGTAACAGAAAATGGACGGACAGCCTTCAAAGTAAACCAGTGAACTTTTCTCCAGATAATTATGAGACAGTGTTTTGGTATTGCACTTAAGCCTGCTGAGCTCACTCTTTCTCTTTTTCTTTCTATGAACTAATAGCCGTCTAAAAAAGCTGTCCTAGCCTAGCCACCAGCCACTTCCCCTGTGTCTGCCTTCAGGTGACACAGGTCTGGATTTCGGGGTCAGGGACAAGCCAATCCTGAGAACCGTCACCCACAGACACGTACCGAACAATGCTCCGCCTGCTGGACTCTGATGCCCAGGATCTTCTCGGAAAGCAGCTTCAGAGAGGGCCTTCCGCTCTGCAAAGGGAAAGGAGTCGGTGCGTGGCATGCTGGGGTGGGCATCTGCACAGGCTCTGCCCGAGGAGGGCACTTCCCTGGCCGGGAGAGGTTGGCTACTGAGCCCCACCCAAGCAGCCTGCAGCTATAGCCCTGTGGCCGCACCCCGGCTGGTCAGTCAGTGAAGGAGTCGCTCGAGGGTGCAAGGCTCAGTGTTCTGTACCGGGGAACGCGAGCCCACACCTTGTCTTCTGTCCTCGGCCCCCACTGGTGTCCAGGGGTGCAGGGCCTGCGTGCCCCCCCTGTGGACAGCCGTGGAGCTCGGTGTGCAGACAGCTTGCCCACCCACTTTCCCAAGGCTGGCAGTGAATGGACTCCACTTTTCTTTTCCCTTTTTACGGTGCTGAGGATGGAGCCCAGGGGCTTGTGCTTGCTAGGCCAGTGCTCCACACTGAGCAGCACCCCAGCCCTACTGTTTAGGTTCCTTTTAAAGGTTAAAAGAAAAACAAAACAAAAATGCTTTCAAGTCAGCTATCAGAGACCAGAACGAACAGCCCCTGACCCTAGTCTGGAGGTGTAAGTACCTTCACTTGCCTCTTGAAAGGTTTGTATTTCTGTGTATCCCGGATCTTCTTTTTTGGATGATCAAGAAATAGCACCTAGAGGAAAATAACAATAAGCATTTTCATTTTAGTTTCTGGCAGTAGCAACATCTTCTCACAAATAACATCTTACAGAGGACCCCAGGATACAACACCCCCCTCAAATGAGAACAGGTGTGAACATGAACTTATGAAAGAAATTATCAGCCAGACTTAGGGTGCTGCCTGATAGAAATGCATTAATAAAATCTTGAAATTGAGGAAGTAGAAAAACAATCAAGTGGTTGTATGTTTGAGTTGATTCTGCACACAGGGAAGTGGGAAATGAGATTTCAACAGCTCATCTTACAACCCCAGCCTGGTCGTACAGACTGGCCCACGGCCTGCATGGGGCGGGGGGGGCAGCACATGGCTCTGCAGGGGGACATGCTGTCCTGGGGCCGCTTCTGAAGGTGACTGCACACATGAGCGGGCAAGTGATTTGGTAGTTTTTAGAAAACATTATTATGTTTTTGGTGTACAGATGCTAAGCATGTGCTCGACCACTGAGCTATTGCCTAGCCCCAAATTCAGGTCTGAGGCCTCTAAGGTCCTGTGGGATACTGAAGAGCCACAGTACCGCGGATGGACACTGTCCCTTCCGTCTGCCTAAGAGGCTTTCATTAGCAGGACCCTAAAAGGGCAGAGGCTGGAGGCTGCACACCCTGGCGTGCTGGGGGCCGGACTGTGAAGGGGACCCAGCCGGGCACGGCTATCCAGGAACTGTGTCCCCATCCAGGCCCCACAGCGGGCTGGCAGCAGGCTGCAGGCAGTGGCTGGCTTTGCCTACTGGGGACGGTGAAGCCCAGGAAGGAAACCAGGCAGCTTGGTCAGCACCGAATGCTGCACTCAAGAATGCTGAGGCTCAGCTCTGCTGTCCGTAAGCACAGCTCAAACCTCCGATGCTTTTACAGGATTAGGTGAGACTGCTGCAGGGCATCAGGAGGCTCGGTATGAGGAGGTCCGGGGAAGAAAGGAGGGGCAGCTCTCCCCACTGAGCAGACAGGGCTGCCACGTTCCTGTTGCTTCCTCCCAACAGACCATGCATGTGTTTGTCTGTGACCCTACGGGACCCAGGCCCCATAAGCAGCACTGGGCTCCCAGCATCAGAGCCACACATGGGCAGAAACTGGGCTGCTCCTGTGAGAGGCACAAGGGCTCTGCTGGTGTAAACCAGTTCCCCGTGAGCAACCGGGTGGCAGGCCATCTGCAAGGTAACACAGGTGTCCCTCAAGAGGTCCCAGTGGGCACCTTGGCCAGTCTCCTCCATTTGCTCCAGCACCGGAGCCTGAGCACCTGGTGTGGCTCCTGGAACACAGCAGCTGGGTGCAGGCATTCGACACAACCAGCAGAGTATTCCCGACACAGAGCACAAACTCAGGATAAAAAGCCCCGTAAAGGCGCTTCTGGAGAAGGCATGGCAGCACGTGCATTCGGTGTGCACGAGGCACAGTGGATCCGAAGCTGGGGCCAGCGCACCTTCAAGTCATTGTGCAGTGCGTGCCCCACCAGGATCCTGCCCTTCAGCATCTCTGCCACTTCGCTCTGCACAACTTCAAGCTCTTCTCCTGAAAATCAAAGCAAAGACATGGCTTTTCACAGCCCATAAATCACTGCCATCCTCCGAGAGGGAGGCCGGCCGTCGCCAGCAGTGCATGTACCCTGGATCCTCTCCCATGTCGGGCACCACAGCGCAGCCTTGTCACAGCCCACAGGATGTCCGAGGGCTTCAACTCAACCTAATAATGAGCTGGGGCTTGAACTTTGTTAATTTTCCAAGTGGAAATAAAAAGCAGCCCTTGCAGGACGTGGTGGTGCATGCCTGCAATCCCAGCACTCAAAAGGCCGAGCCAGGAGGGTCGCTCCAAGTTTAAAGCCAGCCAGAGCTACATGGTGAGTCCAAGAGCAGCCTGAACTGCACAGCAAGACCCTGTCCCCAGAAATCAACCCCTCCCCCCAAGACAACCAGCCCTCACCTTGGGCAGTGGGGGGCGCTGCCCCAGACCCTGGCTCCAAGAAGGAAGGCTTCAGAACCATGCTTGTACCTGTGACTTCACCCAACCTCTAGGGCTTCCCAAGAGACCCCGTAGTCTGTCCATCCCCAGTGGCTTTCCTCCTCGTCCCTAACACACCCCATCTTGGTCCCCGGTGGAGGTGACATAAAGGTGCAGTGGGCTTGGGGTACTGGGTGTCCTAACAGAAAGGAGCAGAGGAAAAGCAGGGCACTTGCCTACGACTGCCCGGCCCACGCCCACGCCCTGACGTCGTACCCTGTCTGAGATGCTTGGGCCGAACCCCGCTGACTGCTGTCCTGTAGTCCGTCACGGGCTCGGTCGGCTTGATGAACTTGTCATACACGCATTTCCCATACTGGTTCACGAGGGACACTCGGGCGGCGATGCTCTCCTCCCCCTGAGGGCCCACGCCCACCATCTCGCAGTCCAGGGCCAAGGCTTTCGTCAGGCTAGGGGACCAAAGGCTCCATGTAATAAGCACCTGGGCCTGGGAGGACAGGCCAGATCTCGAGGGGCACTGTGGGCAGAGCCCTGCACGAGTGCCACTCCATTAACCTGGACGAGGGGCACCCGAGTCCCCAAAGAGCCCCTGCTCTGGAAGGAGGCCGCTTCCAGCCTGGGCTGAGCCCTGCGTACCCGTCAAAGGCCTGCTCCTTCACTAGGCTGATGCTGCTCTCCTTCTGCCCGAGCTGCTTCCTTGCTATCCTGGCTGCCTCTGGGCCTATGGCAGCCTCGATATCAGCTGGGTCCACGTCATCAAACCAGATGTCCTCCCTAAAAGCAAAGACAAGAGCAGCTGGGCACCAGAAGGCCAGGTCCCCTGCCAGGCCCGGGCTCTGTGGCGCTGGTGGGCTCACAGTATGTAGGCTCAGCCCACCCCTCCTGCAAACACCTGGCCCAGCTGCGCCTGCTGCTTAGATGATCTTGGCAATTTCCTATCATTACTCTCTTTTTAATTAGCAAACATGCTTATTATTCAAGATACAGGAACTACAGATAAACACAAAGAATATAAACCAAGAACAGGAAGCCCACCATTATGCAGAATGACGGCTGGCATCATCTAAATACACAGTTAACAGATTCACTGTCAAATGATCAGCAAACTCGGAGGGTACAAGGACCACAAAGTGGATGGAGACACCCATGATGGTGCTGTGCCGCTGCCTGGTGTGCTCCAGGTCTCAGGCTCCTCCCGACACACAAAGGACCCTCCTCTGCCACATGCTCCCGCCTCCGCTCGCTCATGTAGCTACTAAGGTGTCTGTCTCTCCCCTGCATGCTGCCATGCAAGACAGAGGGGCCTTGCCGGGGATGTAGCTCAGTGGTTCTGGCACCTGCCTTGCAAGCGCAAGGTCCCGAGTTCGATCCCCAGTACCAAAAAAAAAAAAGACAAGAGGGGCCTTGCTGACCGCTCTGTCCTGATGGCCCGTCTAGCGCCACACTGGTGGGCACTGAACCCTGTGCCCTCAGCCTTCTGCGACTGCCCAGAATGCCCAGGCGACATGAAGCAGCCTCTGACACACAAGAATGCCTCCTCCAGTTGAGCCGTTCAGAGATAGCCACCAGCTCCCGCTTTGCCCGTGCAAATGACGGTCACAGTGCTTATAGCAGTCACCAGGCACAGGGCTGGGCATGCCAGTTGCTCAGGCTCCTAAGACTCCTCAGATGGCCACACTGAGGCACAGCGGATGTCAGGAACCGGCCCCAGGCTCCCCAGCTGGCCAGAAGCCAGAGTGAGCGGCTTTTCCCACTTGGGTCTCTCCAACTCCAATACTCATCCATGCCACGGGCTGACCGGTGCCTTCCTAAGGGCCCAGCTCTGCGCCGACGCAGTTCTGGCTGGAGTTGATTTTAAAGTTACTTTCCTCACAGCTCTGCCCTTGCCTCGGCTACTCTACAGAGAAAGTAAGACTCAAGGAAACGAAGACGCAGACATTGTTCAGGCAGGCGAGACTGGTGAGGGGAGACGAGGGGCGGGCAGGGGCACCCAGCCACGTGGCTTGTGCCTGTGGTGAGGACAATGGAGGTCAGGTGTGGCGCTTGGGGCTGTCCCAGTCCCACCAGAGACTCAGGCAGAGATGGCCAATACTTACTCAGTGGGCGGGGCCGGGGCAGAGGCCACAGCCACCTCCTTAGCTTTCCGCTTCTTCGGGTTGCTGTCCCCTGGTTTTGAGGAAATGTCACCATTTGTCCTTTTTTGGGATCCTTTCTTATTCTCTGTTCTGTTGGCCTTTGTGGCAGGTACTGGCACCTTGCTGTCCCTCTTAGATTCAGGGGGAACAGAGCCCCCAGCGGCCGCCTGGTCTTTTTCTTTTGGCTTCTTGTCTTCCTTTGAATTACCTGAGATCTCTTTTCTGTTCTGCTGGATAATTCTGGGCTGCTTTTTGGGATCCATCCGAGAGACAAGAGGCTTTTCCGAGACCTGTGATTTTTGTTTCAGCAGCTAATGGAGTCCAAAATAGAATACAAGCCATGTTTTAATTTGGAAATGACATGAAACAGATTGAAAAGATGTGTACGTGTACATACACACATGTATTTACAACACCTACACGTACTTCCTGTCAGCATCTTTCCAGATGGCTGATCTCATCCCAGCAGAGGCTGAGGTCTTACAGCCCAACTTCCACCTCCTTGTGCTCAAATCCCCAGTTGAGACCTTGGCAGGCAGCAGCCAGTTGAGACATGAGGTAGATTTCTACTTACCTGTTCCCATAACACTAAAAGATCAAGAAGATTTACTTTCTTACAGAAATCAGAGAAAACCCAAATTTCTTCCTCCTACTCATTTAATTTTGCTTTACTTTCTTGGGAGAAAGAGCACAAGCTGGTGCTTAGGAAGTGATGAAGAACCGTGAGGTTGCCCACATTAAGATGCCAGGCAGAGTGTTAGGCCCAAGAAGTTCTTATTCTGTCCCTCTTGCTCACTGTGGCTCCATGACAGGCACTCCAGAAACTTCTCTGAAGGTCAACAGCAGCAGACCACAAACTCGGGTCAGAATGTGTGAGTCTGCATCCCAGTTCTGCCACTTACTAGCCATATGACCTTAAGCCAGGTTCCTTAGGCTGGCTCTCTGTGCCTCAGTTTCCCCTCGGCAGGACGTACGAATGTACACATAATGAATGTAAGTATGTTCTTTGCTTATCTTTTGGGAACACACGATTTTACGTGGAGCAGGGAGCGACCTCTGCAGTACGTGTCGATCACCATGTTAACACGGAGTTAAAAGCCTGGACCCCGGGTCACAGGGCCTGGGTGTGAATCCCAGTTCCCAGTAACAACCCTGGATAATTTATTCACCCTATCTGGGCCTTCGTCCTCACGTGTAAGAAGAGGAAAACGTTTCTCGTGGGCGTTACCTAAGACCACACCCTGCATGGATCCCAAGGCAGGGCGTCTGCACACCGGAAGAGCTCGGTACCGGGATAACGGGCAGCAACTCCAAGCGTTTAAGCCCTAAACGGCAGGAATCCTCTACACCACGTGCCTGCCATCAGCTATCTGGAGAGCCCGCTTCCTCCCCGGAAGAGGCTGCCTTGCCTGTGAACAGCTCGGCACTCCTTGGGCTCCAAGTTGCCTCCCCGAGTGCGCCTGGGGCCCCCGTCTTTCCTTCCGTGTGTTCTGCCCGGGACGACCGCGCCCGCCGCCGGGCCCTCTCCGGCCTCACCTCTCGCAGCGCCTTCCAGTTCGGAGAGAAGTCTTCTGGGGCCCTGGGAGGCCGCCCCGCGACACCTTTGGGAGCGCTTCCCGGCGTCTTGCTTCCTCCTTGCGCGTTTTTCTTCCAGAACCTTTTCTTCTTGTTTTTCTTCCCAGTGAGCTTCCTGACAGGCCCCGGCTGGGCCACGGGGATGCTCGGAGCACGCTCGGAGGTCTTCGTCTTCATTCGGCCGAGGCTGCGAGATCCCCACCAGGGACCCGGACCCCGAACCCGGAAGCTGCCCGGAAGACGACCCGACAGCGACCCCGGAAGCGCCTCCGCGGCGTGCTCTAGCCCGGAAGCGTGCTTTTCTTCGCGACCGGCTAGAAACAGAAACGCCACCTGTGGTTCCGCACGGCCGGAGTAGGGCAGGGCAGTCAGGGTTGCGGCCCGATCCCGGGATCTCACAGAGATCAGCGGTCAGGAGCGACGAGGGCGCCGGAAGGGCTCTGGGGGGGCTGCTATCGGTGTAGCACCGCGGCTGAGCGGCCGGCCCGCTACGCTCGCAGTGGGGAAACTGAGGTCCAAGCGCAGCCCCCGCCCTCTTACCTGGAGCCCTGGGACCTTAAAGTTGCGCCATCACTTTCTGGTGCTAATGATAAAGCGCCATTAAGGCCACGATGACGCAGATGCTACTGTTATAGTAGCAACTGTAGCAGTTGAGGAGCGCAGGATGCTTGGCCCTGACAGTGCCTTCCTTGGTAGACACCGCGCATGTGGCTGTCACAAGCCTGCCCCTTGCCCTGGAGTCTCCCAGGGGCTTAGGGGGACAGGTGGGCTAGGAGGTGTTCAGGGAGCACGTGGAGGGTGCGCACTGTGGGGCTAAGGCTTCCAAAGCGTCCTTGCGGAGCTGTGTGTTGTTTTTGTGTTTGTGGTGTTCGGGTGCTGGGAGTGAATCCAGGCCCCCAGCATTCCCCAGCCCTATCCTGAAGAGCCCTGGCCCGCTTCAGCCCTCTGGAGCCTCAGTTGGTTTTGGACAGCAGACAGATGCCAGCTGTGACTGAGGGCATCACTGAGGCATTTCTGCTGGGTCCCCACGGGGTGCGGGGGCCTGTGGGTTGAGGCAAGCAGGTGGCTCCCACTGTCCCATAAGGAGGTGGCCTCCCAGGAGGCAGGGGTATAAGGCAGATTTCTGGATGGATTGTACCAGGAACTGGGGAGGGGCTGTCAAAGATGACTGAGCCCCACTTCTGTTCCCAACAGGTGTCAGGCAGTATAAAGTGACAAGATTCACTGTGGAGAGATAACTGTAGAAGATGCGGGACTGAGGTCAGGGGCGGGGAACAGGTCAGGACTTGCTTCTTGGGAGCTTGCGGGGGAAGGATGGGCAGGGAAGCCCAGAGGGACGAACACACGGTACTGAATGCTCTGGTAAGGTCGCGAAGATGAGGGCAAAGGTGGGAGGCTGCAAGTGGCATCGCGGTGGTGGTGGGGTGTTAAGAGCAGTTTGCCAGGGATGTGAGTGTGGGAGACCGGAAGAGAGCCAGCCCCAGAGATGCCCTTCTCACCTTGTTCCTGAGACACCGAGGGCTGGGGCTGAGATGGAGGGCAGTGCAGCCCCAGGGAGGCCTGTGCTGCTCATCGCTGTGTCCTGAGGGGGACACGCAGGTAGCAGGATCTCAGCATCTCACAGCTGCGGCTCCCAGCGCGTCCTCCATTAAGTAGCCCCTCCCCTCCTGCCTGTCATGGCCCCACCCTGCTGTGTGTCTCCGCAGTCCTCCTCCCACCACTGTCTGATGTGCAGCCTGCTAAGTTTGCTGGCTGAGTCTCTTTCCCAGCTAGAATTGAAGCTTCAAGAGGCCATGGTGGTTGTCTGGTTAGCTGGTGGCCGGTTCCCCGGCCTGCACAGTGCCTGCTGGGCCCATTGCAGAGCTTGGCTGAGCATTTGTTGGCTGAATGAATGAATGAATCTAGTGAAGCAGCAGAAGTGGTGATGTGGCAGGGAGAGAGAAGTGAAGGAGCAAAGCCTGGGGAGGAGAGAGGGTAGGAGGGACCCAGAGCCAGGCTGGCCCAGCAGAAATGGTGGGTGTGTCCTCCCTGAGACAGAAGAGGAGACGGGCTGCAACTTTAGTGGTTTGAAGACAGCAGTGGACCCCTGCTGGTCATTAGCAAGGGAGGGTGTGCTAGCAGCCTTCCATCACTGTGACACAATATCCAATAACCAATTTAAAAGGAAGAAATATTGGGGTGCATGCCTGTAATCCCAGTTACTCAGGAGGCTGAGGCAGTAGGGTCACAAATTTGAGACCAGCCTGAGTAACTCAGTGAGATAATAAAAATTAAGAAAAATGAGGGCCGGGGATTTAGCTCAGTGGTTCTGTTGCCTGCCTGGCAAGCGCAAGGATCAGAGTTTGATCCCCAGTACCAAAAAAAAAAAAAAAAAAATTAAGAAAAATGAGTTGGAGATGTAGCTCAGTGCTCCCTGTGTCATTGGCTACTGGGAGTTTTTGGCCACCCATGAGATGAAAATCAGATGTGGGCCAGTTTTAAGGTGAAAACAAAGTAAAACTTTATTAGGAAAGAAACACAGCTAGCTACTCCATAGACAGAGGCCCTGGGCAAAGGCACATTTTCTATTTATGGGGGTCTCATCCCATTTTGGTCTCAATAGCCCCTTGAAGGCCACACCTCCAGTGACATCACTTCCTCCTATCAGGGCCACCTTCTAAAGGTCCTGCCAGCTCCCAGTAGCCCCATTGGTGGGGCCCAAACCTTCGACACATAGACCTTGGGGGGGGCATTCAAGATCCAAACCGTAATGGGGGACTGACGCATGAGGGGTGTCCAAGTGTGAATCAGAGTGTGTAAGGACCTCAGAGAAGGCCAATGGGATTGGCAGTTATTTGGTGACAAAGACAGAGATGTTAGGCCCCTCACCTGCCATATGACTGTCCCTCTAGGGTGCAGGCCAGACAATTGAGAAGTCAGAGGTCGGGTACAAGGACACAAAATGTCTGCAAGGAGTCAGTGCAGAGGGGCACAGGTGAAGGGAACAGCAGAGCGAAGGAGTGTGGGAAATGCAGACAGGAGGAAACAGTACTGAGAATCAACAAATGGCTCGTGTCAAATTAAAAAGCTTCTGCACAGCAAAGGAAACATCCAACAGTGAAGACAGCCAGCAGAATGGGAAAAACATTTTGCAAGCTATTCCTGAGTGTTATTGGGTGTTCTCTAGAAACGGCTCACCAGTCATACGTATTATAGGTCCTGCTTGCCTTGAACAAAGAATTGAATGTGACAAGCCAAAATGGTGAGGAGTGGAAGGGTAAGGAAAAAACTGGCTCTGCAGAGCGAACCTGGGCTGGACAAGAGAGGAAAGGAACAAAAATAAAAGTAAACCCTGGTCTAGAAGACTCGAGGTGGACTACTGTGTGGAGTCATGATAGTAGAGTGTCTATGTCCTCATATGTCATCCACATCTCATGGGAACCTGTGAGGATTTTTGCATATGGGGTCCTGGGAATTATTTGATGCTGTCCTGGGATCTAGTAATGTTCCAGAATTGCGGAAAGAAACGCACAGAGACACAGAAGTTGGGTAAAAAAACAAATTTACTTGCGAGCAGACAGGACTGCCAGAAACTGGTCTGGTCGGAGTCCGCGCCCTCTGTTCTTTGTCCATCACCTTTTATACTTTTGTCAGTCATTATCTCATCCCTAGTGGTCTTTGTTAAGTAAATAAAGTTCCAATTCCTGTTTAATGGTTAGACACAGGTGGTTTCTGTCACTCATTACAGTCCTAAACACACGACAGTTAAGGCACATACATCACAAGTTTGTTCAAGGATTCCCACTTTGTTCTTCAGCGCTAGGATGTTATCTATAGTGGAGCTACAGATCAAAGGAGCTATACAACCTTCACTTTAGACAACAAAAGCAATGGGCTAAGGCAAGCTTTTAAAGGGATACGCTACCTATTTTGCTTCCACAACTACTTTAATAGCTAATTTAAAACTTTTCCCTATCAGTAATATAACAGGTCTGTGTCAGTTACTTTTCTCTCATTGCTGAGACAAAATACCTGGCAGCAAAAGTTAAAGGGGGAAGGTTTTATTTAGCTCATAGTTTGTAGAGGTTTCAGTCCATAATCGGCTGGCTCCAAGGCAGGGAGACAAACAGGCATCGCAGAGGAGAAACAACATGGCATGTACAAGGTAGCAAAGGTAACAAGAGAGAGTTTAACAGCGTCTTTCTGCTCCTTTTATCTCATCCAGACTACCAGGATTAGGGCAGTGCCGAAGCAATCACTCCCATGTAGTGGTTTAGTAATCACACGCCCTCAATCCTACCTCACACTTTCCAGGTTTAGTGACCTTCAGAAAATACATGAGGTGTGTGTGTGTGGGGACACATCTAGACACAAGCCACAGCAAAGTCCCACTTATTTTTCCAGCCAGCTTTGCCACATATCACAAGAGCACTAATATCTGGAATATATAAAGAACTCAGAAAGTTAGACTCCCCCAAAAGAAAAGACCCAATCAAAATTGGGCAATGCACACTTAACAGACGTACAAGTGGCCAATAAATACATGATGCTGAAAATCACTGGCCATTAGAGAAATCCAAATTAGCACAGATTCTATCTTATCCCAGAAAGAATGGCTATCATTAAGAAATCAAATAACTGGGCTGGTGATTTAGCTCAGTGGCTCCGCTGCCTGCCTTGCAAGCACAAGGTCCTGAGTTTGATCCCCGGTACCAAAAAAAACCCAACAACAACAAAGAAATCAAATAATAGGGCTGGGGATGTACTCAGCAGTGCAGCACCTGCCTGACAAGCTCCAGGCCATGAGTTTGATTCCTGGTACAGGAAAAAAAAAATCAAATAACAAATGCTGATGAGGCTGGAGAGAAAAAAGGAACTCTTCTTCATTGTTGGAAGGAATGTAAACTAGTGCAACCACTGTGGAAATTAATGTGAAGATTACTCAGAAAACTAAGACTAGAAATTCCATTTGACCTGGCCACTCCCCTTTTAGGTATCTTCCCAGCAGAGTTAAAGACATCGTTTTACAGTGATCCATGCATACCCATGTTTACAGCAGTACAATTTATAATAGCTAAATCTTGGAAGCAGCCTATGTGTCCATCAAGGTAGGGAACAGGGGAAGGGGACGTCACCAGAACCTCTGCAGTGAGTCCTGGTCTCCTGCGAGCCACGGCAGCACACGGCGAATGACAGGAAAGGTAGAAAAATGAGACCGAGAAGAAGCTGAGCTTTGGGTCTGATCAGTGCTGCTCTGGGCAGCAAAGACAAAAGCCCCCAGCTTACCACACCTTTTATTCAGTGCCTCGTAACAGATGACTTGCAGAGAATTCAGTAGTTCACATTGGGATAAACAAGGTGTAACAAGAGGCTTGCAGAGAGTTCAGTACATCTCGGGTAAACAAGATGTTAACAGTCCAAGAACAATGAGGAACTGAGCAGATGTTTATTCTCCCAGGATGTTTCTTGTCCTGGAGAATCACAGCATCACTGGATCACTGAAGTCTCAGTTGTGACCGGAGGCCAAACTGGAGCTATTCTGTAGCTGGGCTGTAGGCAAGAGGACTAGGCTAACCAAATGATTTTTCCCTAGAATTATGTAGCATTGCTCCCAACACATCAACAGATAAATGGATAAAGAAATGTGGTGTTTACACACAATGGAGTGCTACTCTGCCATAAAGAAGGATAAACTCCAGTCATTTGTTAGGAAAATGGATGCATGAGACCATAATATTAAGTGAAATCAGACATACAAGCTAAATACGCATAGTTTCTCTTTATGAGAAACCCAAATTATGAACAAAGAGCAAAATAAAAGATAGGTAATAAGAAGTAGAGAAATAGATCTTTCTCAAATGGGAAAGGGAGCAGAAGATGTAGGGAGGGCAGTGGAGGGGAGGGGAAGGGGGTGGAAGAAGATTAAGATGTGTTCTGGACATGTACCAACTCCACACTGGCAGGCCTGTCAGCAGTATGTCCTGCAAATGTGGACTAATGAAAATGAAAAGCAAACGAGGGTGTCAGCAAGAGCAGGCTGTTGGCGGTCAGAGCTGTGGTGCCCTTGTGCACCCTCTCATTGGCCAGTTGGGAGTGGAGACCCCGAGAGAGCCAAACGTGCCCCACATTCTGCACCAGCCCTCATCTCCAGGGCCCGGGCCCTCCCAGGAGCTGGCTGTGCACACAGGGTGGGGGTGCCGTGCTGGTCAGCCCAGTGCAGGCCCAGGGTCAGGTCACAGTGGGAGGAGCTGCGGCTGCCCCTGCCCCTCTTCCTGGGAGGAAGCGGGGAGTTCCCAAGAGCAAACGCTGCCCAGCGTCCTGCTCAGCCAGTCAGAGAGTGAGCAGGGCCCTCGCATTCCACACCAACGAGATCCTGGGCACCAGGCACCCTCTCCCGCCACGGACTGGTCCTGAGGATGAGCCGGCTTCGGCCCTGGGCACGATGCCCCCTTCTCCATGCAGCCAGCGTTGGAGGGGTCCTCTTCAGTGCCTTCTTGGCCCTCGGCTGCTGGGGGCTGTCGGACTTCCAGCAGGTGGGCTCGCGGTGGGAGCTTGGCATTTGGTCGGTGGAGGGCAGAGTGGGCATTGTCTTCCTGCTGACCATGTTGGCTTCGGGTTCAGGGGCGCTCGGGTGGAGGACCCGCGCCTGGCTTGAGGCTGCTCACTGAAGAGGGGTTGGTTTCTTCTAGTGAGGACAAACAGAGGCCAGTTGTCCCGGGCCTGTGCCTGCCCTGCCTGTCCCTGCCTCTGTCCGATTCTATCCTGTCCTCCCTGGTCTCCTCTCCTTTTTCTTCTTCTCCATTTCTCTTTTCTTGCAGAGCTTTCTGCAGGCTCTGGAGCCTGAGGAGGTGTCCTCTTACTTTGGGCCTGATGCAGCCTTGGAAGGTACACGTTCTGGTGCCTCCCTTGCTGGGGCAGTTTCTCAGGTTGGGGGGCAGCTCTGCACTGAGCCAGTGGTCTGGGGTTCTTGGTGGCTCTGGAGGGAAGAGGTCAGAGGAGTAGCAGTCACCCTGCTCATTAGCGCTGTCACTTCCTGCCAAGTTGATAAAAGCTAGACAGGGTGTTCTGTTTGGGCTGGGGTTGGCGGCCCCGAGCGAATGGTCATTAGCTAGCAAGTTCTTTCCGCCCAGGCCCTCTGCTGGGCTGGCTGGTTTTCAGGAGCTCGGTTGTTTCTGGCCATGGATGTAAATATTTATTCCTTTTTGGGGGAACAAGGTAGTGGTGGATCAGCCCCCTCCAGAGCCCATCCTCTGCATCTCCTGTGGCAAAGCCTTTCCCTGTGGCCTGTGGGGCTCGGGGTCCCAGGCCCCTGCTCAGGAGGGCTGTTAGTGGCTTTGATCAAAGGCTGGAGGGGACCAGAGGTGGGCAGGGTAGCCATCCGGTTGGGGGAGTTAGAGGGTTCCCACTTGTGCCCCAGCAGAACCCAGTGCCCTGGGGCCAGCTGGACCCCAGGTCCTTGAAGCTCTGCCTGTCCTTGAGGGCTTGGATGCCATCGCCGGGGCCCAGCCCTCTGCTTCTGGGCTGTGTTGGGAGGAGAACAGTGAGCTGGCCTTGTGCCTGTTTCCTGGGAGACCAGACTCCGTGTTGTCACGTGGCTGGGATCATTGGCTGGCGTGGCATTCAAGACTGCAACTAGCTTGCAAGCACCACCTGGCCCCCAGGTGAGGCTTGGGGAGAAGAGGCCACCTGTGGTGTGCCAGCCCTCAAGCTAGGAAGAGCAGAACTTGAACCCAGGCCCTGGCCTGCAGGCCTGTGGAACCCCCTCCACTGACCCTCACCAAAGGGACCGACTCAGGCCTGTCCCTGGGTAGGAGGATAGGGTGGCCGGGCAGGGTGAGCGAGATGGCCCCTGTGTCCCACAGTGCCCCACTTCACTGTGGCCCCGCTCACCTGCGTCTGCGAGGATCAGCTCCCGACACTGCCCTGCAGGGCCCTGCGCTGCTCCCTGAGTGCCCCGGAAGAGCCCTTTGCCTTCTCCTTCCGGCCTGAGCAGGGCCTCTTGGGTCCCTCCTTTGTCACCGAGCATGTGGTGAATGCCTCCCTCCGGCTGCTGAAAGGGCCCCTCAGCCACTGCTTCACGGGGGGACGTGCCCTGCTGCCCCCGGGCACAGTGGCCAGGGTCACACACTGCTCAGGCCATGTGGTGAGTATCGGCTCGGGATGGAAGCTGGGGCAGTTGTGCCTGCTGGGACCCTGTGCAGAGGCCTCATCCTGAGTCCCCGCCATGAGGCCCGCATCCTGACAGTGCCCCCACATCCGGTCTGCCTAATGGCGAATGCACCAGGGATCCTGTTCCAGGGGGAAACAGAGGCATAGATGAGCCGGGCCCTCGTCCCCAGCCTGCCCAGCTAGTAAGTGGCAGAGCCGGGTGCAACATAGGCTTTGGCGACTTCCCAGGGCACCAGGCAAGACAGGGGTGGGGCTTTGGCATCAGGCTGAATGCAGGGGCCCTCAGGCCGGTCCCTGAGACTGGTCCTGTGTGAGTGACCACGGTAGTGCCTGGCCGCTGTCTCACACCCAGATGGAGCTTGTCTAAGGATACTGCTCTCGGGAAGCACTGCAGAGCCAGAGCCAGCAAGGCTGTCGAGCGCGATGCCATGGCCTGGTTTCTGGGTGGACCCATGGGACCATGTGCAGGAGCAGTGATTGGCATTGGGTGGGTGCTGGCAGCACGTGGTGGGCAGCAAGCCGGGTCCCAGACGTGGGGGAAGATGGGCTTGGCGACCCTGGACTTGGGCGGAGCCCTTGTGCCCAGTGCCAATGGTCAGACAGGCCCTCCCCCGTGCTGCACTCTGGAGGCCGCTGTCTCTCCTGCAGGAGGGCGACATTCAGGTGGGCGCAGGCAGACTGTATGTCCAGCCAGTGAAGAGGAAGCACCAGGCGCTGGTGCCACCTTGGAGTGGGGCCCTGCCCCACCTGATCCACAGCCCCGCCGCCTCGGGATTTGTGCAAGGTACAGCTCCTGGGAGAGGATGGCACCTCCAGGGTCAGCCAGGAGGGCTGGCTCAGCCCCACCTCTGGGAGGCCATGGGAAATGCCCTATTGAGATAGGAACGTTAGCGTGCAGGGGAAGGTGGTGTGCGGCCACCGGCCTTCGGACTCTCTGGCCCTGGGGGTGCTGGGACAGGGCTTCTGCTGTCCCCTTGTTGCAGATGGGGACCCGGAGCCTCAAAGGAGGGACTCGGCTGCTCCAGAACCACATGGCTCAGGGGCAGGGCCAGGATCTGCAACCTCCCAGGCCTGGCTGGTGCCCCACAGGGCCGAACTGGGCCTCGAGAAGGGTGGTGTGTCAGGGAGACTCTGTCCTCCAGCACGTGTCCAGGAGGCAGAGCAGAGGCCTGGGGCTTTGGACAGAGCCCTTGGGGCAGTGGGACCCTTGTCTCACTTGACAGATGAGACGATCACAGAAACTCCCTCCCAGGCTCACCTTCTTAGGTGCCCAGAGTGCCTGGTCACCAGGGGGAGCCCCCACTGGGGGTGCCCATGCCATGTGGCATCTTGGCTTCCAGGAAGAGCATCCCCCCAAGCCCAGCCGGCCTGTCTCTCCCCTTCAGCAGATCCTTCCCCCGGGCTCTGGAGGCGGACACGGAGACGGGCAGCAGGGGGCATCCTGCACCTGGAGCTGCTGGTAGCCGTGGGCCCTGACGTCCACCAGGCTCACCAGGAGGACACCGAGCGCTACATCCTCACCAATGTCAACATCGTGAGTCTTGGGCAGGGTAGAGGCCACAGCATTGGCCCGTGCGTGCTCATGCACATCTGCTCATGCACGTCTGCTCATGCACATCTGCTCATGCACATCTGCTCATGCACATCTGCTCACGCACATCTGCTCATGCACATCTGCCCAGCGGGTTGAACTTGGGTGTAGACCTGAGGCTGGGTTGGCCAGGGGCTCAGAGCCCTGGTGAGGGGTAGGGACAGAGATAGACCCCTCTTTCCTTCCTCCTCTCCTCAGTGGAGGTAGGTCTGGGACCAGCCGTTGTCTCCGTCCTGCACCCCACAGTCTTTTGCTACTCGAATCCACGTGGCCAACGCTGCCTGGCAAAGAGGGGTGCAGGCTGCCCACACTGCCCTCCGCTCCCCAGTCCCACCCTCTCTCAGGCCTGTCCTCCCTTCTCTAGGGGAGGGGCAGACAGAAGCCTAAACAGACAGCCAGGGCAGTGGAGATGCCCAGTTCCCCCCTCTCCATGGTCTAGGGTGGGGGGAACTGTGCCCTCACCACCATCTCAGAAAGATGAGAGGTCATTGAGGCACAGGAGATTTAAACCAGCTGATTGTCAGGGTTCCCTTGCAACACACACACACACACACATACACACATACACACACACACACACACACACACACACACACACACACACAGTGCATGGAGAATGGCTGAGGCCCAGGCTGAGAGGTCAGGAATTCACCCACCACTGAGCTGCAACCTAAGACAAACTTTGAAGAGAGCGGTTAGAATCACTCACTGAAAAATTGCTCTAAGATCCCGACTGACTGGATTGGAAGGACAGTAGAACCTCATTTCAGTGAGTGGCCGACAGCTCCAGCCCCCTCCCGTCTCCCTGGCCTGCTGCAGAGGCGGGGCGGGCTCCAGGAGTGGGCGGCTGTGGATGCCTCGCCTCCTCATCTGGCCGGTTTCCAGGGGTCTGGCCCCGAGGTCCCTCCTGTTTGTGGACGTGGTCCACTCCTGAACAACCCTGTGTAGGTTTTCTGCCTACCAGCCACGAAGGCGGTTTTCCCAGCAAGAACGGTTTCCTCTAAGTCACTTGGAAACCACCGTGTTTGAACTTTGGGATGTCTGTTCCCCTCGAGCCCAGTCACCCAGCCTGGGCTCCCTCAGTCACTCGCCTGCCTCTCTGGGGGGCCGGCCCAGCAGCAGAGGTAAGATTAGCTTCCTCCCCAATGCCACCTGTGGTGGGAATAACCACTGTCAGCCCTGGCCCTTCACAGCTACGTCGTCCCCAAGTGTCCTGACAACCAGGGAAGCTTCTGCCTCCATTTCACAGAGGAGGAGACTGAGGCTCAGGGCTTGGTCAACAGAGCTCACAGCTGGCAAGGGACAGAGATTGGATTTGAACTCAGGCCAGCCATAGCCAGCGATGGGCTCCTCTCCCACCGGGCACTGTGTGCTTTGGGGGGAATTCGGCCAGCCATGAGCTGTGTACTGAGAAGCCAGGGCAGGAATGGGCTGTGGTGGGAGAAGGTGGCTCAGAGTCTGACTCAGCAAGCAGAGCGGAGGAGAAGGTGCTCCCGGCCAGTGGACGGAGACAGAAAGGACGGAGCTGGTGCAGGCGGGGAGAGGCCGGGTGATCGTGCGGTCTCACCATCCTCCAGGGCTCCCTCTGGGAGGTGGCCGGGGGACCCCCAGAGGCTGTGTGACCGTCTGTCTCTGGTGTGGGCTCCCAGCACGAGGACGTGCGCCTGCCCTGCTGCTCCCACTGGGTCAGGGCCAGTGCTGCCCACATACATGTTGCCCCCGCAGGGGTCGGAGCTGCTGAGGGACCCCTCCCTGGGGGTGCAGGTCCGAGTGCACCTGGTAAAGCTGCTCATCCTCACGGAGCCTGAGGTAGGCAGCACTACACTGGTCCCTGCCCCATGCAGTCAGGCACCGAGTCAGCGACTCCTCCACCCCTCCATCCTCCTCCTGCAATGCCTGTGGGGTGCAGCGGCTCAGGGGCTGTCAGCCAGGCAGGCTGGCTCTTGACTACTTCCAGAAGGCTCAGTTTACCCATATGTAATGTGGGGTGGCAATGGGGTTGTTATAAGTCAGACCAAGCAATGCAACAGGAGCGGAACAGATCCCAGAAAAGTGGGCTCTGCTGGTGATCCCGCAGGGGACCCCGAATATCACTGCCAATATCACCTCGTCCCTGCTGAGCGTCTGTGAGTGGAGCCGTTCAGTCAACCCTGAGGACGACAAGGATCCTGGGCACGCTGACCTGGTCCTCTACGTCACCAGGTAACCCAGCTCACAGCAGATGTGCCTGCCCAGACGGCCACAGCTGGGCCTTTCCTGCCCCTGCCTGGTGACTTGCGGGCAAGCAGTGCCTCCTGGTGGTGACGCCTTTCTCTTGCCAAGGTTTGACCTGGAGTTGCCTGATGGGAACCGGCAGGTCCGGGGAGTCACCCAGCTGGGGGGTGCCTGCTCCCCCTCCTGGAGCTGCCTTATCACTGAGGACACTGGCTTTGACCTGGGGGTCACCATGGCCCATGAGATCGGACACAGGTATGCGGCTGCACCAGCTGTCCACGCTCTGGCCAGGATGAGGGACGGTCTTGGCAGGCAGTAGGCCCTGGCAGAGCCTGCCTGGGGATCCTACACCCCAACCCCAAGGACTGGGAGAGTAGAGCCAGCCGGGGACATCTGACACCTCTTGATCACCAAATGCTTAGAAGACCCCCTTCCCCCGCAAAAAAGTAAAATAAACACGGATCAGAAAGTAAGTTTTGTAGGAAACTCAGATAGTGAAAAGGCAGGCTGTCACAAGTACCCTGAATCCCACCACCTAAAGTTCCTCTTGTGTTGTGTATTTTATTCCAGCCTATTTGTTATATACACACAGTTTTTTATTGGCAAAATTGGGCTCATGTGGAACCCTGCTTTTTAGTGTAATAATATATTCCAAAAATCTCTCCCAGATCTCTTACTTGTTTTTTTTTTAATGCACCACAACTTATTTGGTTAATTTCTTCTTGTTGGGTACATAGGTTATTTCTGAATTCTTCCTGTTATGTACGTTATGCATTGTTGTGGGCAAATCTTCGCTCTGTCTTCTGTCGTTGACTTAGGGCAATGGGCTTCTCTATGATGTTTGGTTTTTCAGATGATGAGAGTGATACCCCAAAAGTCAAATAGTCCAGGGACTTCTAAATGAAAAGTGAAAGTTTCTTTTTGGCTCTTTGAGATAGGCTCTTGGTCTCTAATTCAAGCTGGCCTTGAACTCACTGTGTGCCCTGGCTGGCCTCCTGCCTCAGCCTCCCCAGAGCTGGGATAACAAGCATGTGGCACCATACCCAGCTGAAAAATGGAAGTTTTTACCTTGGTTGCCCAGCAGCCCCCGCTGGGCAGGGTGCAGAGCCCCCGGGGCCGGTGGGGGGCTCCTCGCTCAGATCTGATGGCAGGCGCTGCCCCCCACGAGACTGTCAATTCTGCTTCCCCATCATTGCCTAAAAGCAGCTTTGGGCTGCATGTGTTAAAAGGCTTCATCCCCAAAAGAGGCAGGACCCACCTGTGGGGCCAGTGCTCCCCACGACACCCAGGTAGGAAACTGAGGCAGAGCTGCCTGCTGGGTCCACTGTACCTCGTCAGCTGGTGGCAGGGCCGGGGGCTGACCCAAGTCTGGAAACTCGGGGGCCCAGCCCCTGACCGCGCCGGCTGCCCTCAGTTTAGGCCTGGACCACGATGGGGCACCTGGCAGCGGCTGTGGGGCCAGTGGACATGTGATGGCCTCTGACGGCGTGGCCACCACCCACAGGGGCCAGGTGTGGTCCCCCTGTAGCCGAAGGCAGCTGCAGCAGCTGCTCAGGTATGACCCCCAACCCACAGTACGTTTCCGGTCCCAGGGCTCCCTCCTGCATCCACTTCCACCCCCTCATTCTCTCTCTGCCCACCCCGTCCTTCCTGCAGTCCTGCCCCTCCAACCTCTCCACGCCAATACCTACCTCTCCGCCTCGCCCCTCTCCTCCATCTTTCCATTGCTCACCAGCCCGTGCCACCCAGGGCCTGAGCCTACCCTTCCCACGTCTACCCTTCTGTCCACCCAACCCGTGTTCCCCGGAGCCTAAGCCAGGACCTGTCGCAGCACAGGGTGGGTACGCTGCATGTGGGACCTGCCAAGCTCGCCGTGGGGACCCACAGGGCGCCTGCCTGATGCTCAGCCCGGCCTCTACTATGGCATGGAGGAGCAGTGCCGCATTGCCTTCGGCCCCGCTGCCACCGCCTGCACCTTTGCCAGGGAGGGGCTGGTGAGTGTGCTGCCCACATGCTGAGTGCCAGGCATGGAGGGACAGCTGCGTCCCTGGTCCAGTGCTGTTAGTTGGCTCTTGAAATCCTCAAGTTTTGGAAAGTCCTCACATTTTATTTTTGTTTTTTGAGACAGGGTCTCCCTATATAGCTCGGGCAGGCCTTGAACTCACTATGTAGCCCAAGCTGGCCTCCAACTCACTGCAATCCTCCTGCCTCAGCCTCCCAAGGGCTGGGAGTACAGGCATGTGCCACTACGCTCAGCTCATCCTCGCATTTTTTGTTTGATTGGACCATGGAAATTATGTAGGTGGTCCTGGCACACACGTGTGCCTGCAGACGCCTGGCTGAATGAGGACGCCGGCCTTAGACAGCTTCCAAGGGCTCCCAACCTGGAGGAAGCAGCCTCCTCACCGGACAGCAGTGTGAGCAGGTGCCCACTGGTGACTTTCTCCCAGGGCTGCCTAGGGCATTCAGGGGTCCCAGGCCTTTGCCCTGGTGGGCTCCTTCCTCCAAAAACACTACCAAGGCTTATGCACTTTTCTAACCTTCATCAGTTTCAGCATACTGCATTATATTAGAGGACTTATTTTGACCTAAAGCTTCATTTTCTTGCTGATTTCGAAGGAAACCAGAACGTTTTTGTGGGCCCTGAGAAGCCTGGAGGGCCCAGGCCAGGGCCTCTGCCCCTCACTGATGTCAGCATGCCTTGTCTTCTCAGGCCACCCACTGGCGTCCCCAGAGCAGGGCACTGGTGGTCAATTGTCCTGTGGTCCAGGAGGGGTACTGCCTGGTGGCCCCTGAGGAACCTCCTGTCTCCCTCTTAGGACATGTGCCAGGCCCTGTCCTGCCACACGGACCCCCTGGACCACAGCAGCTGCAGCCGGCGCCTCGTGCCTCTCCTGGATGGGACAGAATGCGGCTTGGAGAAGGTCAGGGCGTGAGCCGAGAGACTGAGTTTGTGTGTGTGTGCAGCTGTGTGCACAGGTGTGTGTGTGCAGCTGTTTATGTTCAGCTGTGTGCACAGGTGTGTGTGTGCAGCTGTGTGTGCTCAGGTGGGTGCACAGGTGTGAATGTGGGCAGGTGTGTGTGCACAGAAGTGTACACTCAGGCGTATGCGTGCTCACACATGGCCCCTCCAGCCTGGCGGCCTTGTCGCTGGGGCAGGAGGCAGGAGGTCAGTAAGGAGGGGCTGGGCAGAGAGCGCCAGCCAGGTCAAGCGTGGCTGCAGATGCCCCCGAGGGACTGTGGGTGTGGGGGAGACCTGATTGCCGGCCACCTGAACCCTCCAGGCTGGGCTGCTGGTTTCTAGGTCTGTGGAATGCACTCGGTGCCTGCAAGGCCAGGGGATCTGCTTGAGTGCAGAGGCCCCACCAACCTGGAGAGTAGGAGGTTCTGAACCCCACTCCCAGGCACAGGGCCCCATCTCACCTGGACACAGGGGTCGTGTCATCCCCCCTGGGGCAGAGAAAGGTCTGCTTGGTGACATTGTGGCCCCAGCATCTCCCCAGACCTCCTCTTCTTACCCACCCAGGCCCTCTCAGGCTCGATTCCTGCTCTCTGGGTGGCCAGGCCCTTGCTTAGTCCTTCAGGTTGGTGGTCTGAGCTCTTCCCTTTAGTGTTTATTCCCAAGCAGAATGAGGTGTGACACACACCTAATCTCAGCACCCAGGAGGCTGAGGCAGGAGGATTACTATGAGTTCGAGGCCAGCTATGGCTACATAGTGAGTTCCAGGCCAACCTGAACTGCAGAGTGAGACCCTGTCTCAAAAACAACCAAAAAACAAAAGCACCCAAGCAGATGAGGTATAGGGGCGTCCATGAGGGCAGGGTCCCTGTGGGGGTCCTTGTGGATTTGGGGTCCTGTGTGTGTGTGCTTGTGTCCCACGGGGTGTAACAGAGCTGGCTCTTCTTGCAGTGGTGCTTCAAGGGTCACTGCCGCTCCCTGGCGGAACTGACGCCCGTGGCTGCCGTGCACGGGAGCTGGTCCAGCTGGGGCCCCAGCAGCCCTTGCTCCCGCTCCTGTGGAGGAGGTGTGGTCACCAGGAGGCGGCAGTGTGACAACCCCAGGTACTGTGTGGAGGGGCTGCCGGTCCTCCCAGGGAGGGTGGGGCCCCCATTCCCCACTGGGGCCATCTTCACCTCTCACCTCCTGTTCGGCATTTTCAGGCCTGCCTTCGGGGGGCGTGCGTGCACCGGGGCCGACCTGCAGGCTGAGATGTGTAACACTCAGGTGGGCCTGACTCCCGGACTGAGCCGTGGGGTGGGGGCCAACCTGGGGCTCACATCTCACTTTGGAGGGGGACCCGGGACCACAGCAGGGCGGTCCTACCGGTGACCAGCAGGGATCCCAGAGCGTCCCTTCCCTCCCCGAGGGGGTTTTGCCATCCTAGGCACATCTGCCAGTGAGAGTTGCCCCTGGGATGCCAGCACTGTGTTCCTGTCATTTATGAATTGAGGCAAAACCGCATAGCATGAAGTCACCCGTTTCAAAGTGCACAACCAGAGCCTTTTGCACGGCCACCACCCTACCTGGCTCCAAATGCTTGTTTCTGTCACTGCAGGGGAGCAAAGCAGTCCCTCCCAGGCCCCCCTCCACTTGCCCCAGCACCTGCTGATCGTTTTATTTTTTTACTCCATTTTTTCTTTCTTGGGAGTGCCAGGGATGGAACCCAGAGTTTAACCCCAGGCCGCTTCCAAGCTACTGCGTGGCCAGAGAGCCTGCAGTTCCTCTGGCTTTTGTGTATCGATGGGCACTGGTGTCATTGCCACCCGTCATCTGTTGCAAACTGTGCTGTGAGAAAGACGTTGTGCGGTGACTGTTGGGGTCCCTGTTGGGGTTCCTGTTCGTGTTTCTTTGGGCCGTGTGCCGTCCCAGTCTGGGTGGGCTGCTGTCACGCAGCACCGCCGTGGGTGATTTACAGACGCAGACATTTGCTTCGCCTGGTTCTGGAGCAGGGAGCCCCGGTTAAAGCCCCGGCAGGGTTGGGTCCTTGAGGGCTGCTCCCTGCTGCCCAGGTGGCAGCCTGTCCTGTGGCTGTGCTGTCCAGGGGAGGATGCTGGGTCCTCACGTGGCAGGGGGCACGGAAGGGGAAGAGACCTGCGCCGGCCCCTCCATCCGCCACGGGCACGGTCCCAGCCCCCAAGGCGGAGCCCTCACTGCCCCTTCACCTCCAAGGCCACCCCTCGTAACACTGTTGAGGGACTTTGGAGGGACGAGGGGATCACACTACAGCAAGCCCTGGCCGTGGGCTTGCAGGGCCGCACGGTAACATGGGAGCCGCCATGCTGTGGCCCACACACCGACCTGCTCTGCTTTCCTTCCCATCGGCAGCGGTGCTCCGTGTCCCTGGCCCGGGTTGGCTCTGGTTCTCTCCAGTGCACAGTAGACCTGGATACCTGCCTGGGGCTGGGGCTGGGTTGTCGCCCTCTGCTCTGGAACCTCAAAGTCCCTCTCCTTTCCCGCCTTGAGGTCACCTACACCCCAGAGAATAGACAGAGTCAGCCTTGACTTCTCAGAGTCCCACAAGAGCAGCGCTTTGTCCTGCTTTCTCTGTACTGCTGCCTCACATCCTCTACCGAATCTTTAGCATTTCCCATTGACAGAGAGACAGGCAGGGGCGCTGATCGCTCCACTATCCAGCACGGGGAGCTGAGGCACAGCCTAGGGCTGGGTCACCCGTGTCTGGACCCGCACGGAGGGTGCACTGTGACAAGGACCCCCTGTGCCTGTCCTCTACCACTCCGGCCAGGCCTGCGAGAAGACGCAGCTGGAGTTCATGTCCGAGCAGTGCGCCCAGACCGACGACCAGCCGCTACCCGTCTCCCCGGGGGGCACCTCCTTCCACCACCGGGGTGCTGCAGTGCAGTACAGCCAAGGTGGGCCAGGCAGCGCTGGAGCTGGGCCCCTTGGCAGACTGAGTGGGGGCGGCCCCTCGCTGCAGGGGTGGACAGGGCAGGCTCTGGTGTCCCCCAGACTGTGGCACACCGCTCGCCTGGCCTCCCAGCTGATAAGCGCTGGGGCCCCATCTCTGAGCCTCAGTTTCCCCTCTGGGAAATGGAGACAATGACAACATCTCCCTCTGGGGTTGGAGAAGGATTCAGGCAGAAAACTGACGGGGAAATCCCAAGTGCGGTACTTGGCTCCTAAACCAGTGAGTGCCGTTATCAATTTTGGTTATCATCACTGCGTCTGGAGGCAGAGCAGGGAGCCCAAACCCAGGGAGGCAGTTAGGTGCGAGGTGAGCAGAGGGCACCGCCGGCCCCTGCTCTCCCCGCCTGCCCCGCCTCAGGCCCTGTCCCTCTGCCCTCGCAGGGGACGCTCTGTGCAGACGCTTGTGCTGGGCTGGCAGCCAGAGCCTCCTTGTGCGGCAAGGACACCGGCTCCTGGACGGGACCCGGTGTGTGCCCAGCGGCCCCCAGGAGGACAGGACCCTGAGCCTGTGCGTGTTGGGCAGCTGCCGGGTAGGCGTGTGCGGCTAGCCTGGGCGTCCCTGCACCTCTCATGGCCCTGAGGCCAGCCTGTGCCTTCGGAAGGCCCCGGGCAGGTCTGTGGGTACACAGGGGAGCTGCGCTGGGAAGGGGGAGACTTGGAGGTCGCTGAGGTCATGGTCCCCGCCGTGGCCTGGGGCACAGCCCGTGAGCCCTGCAAGCTCTCTTCCGAACCTCAGAGGTGGCAGGGTTGGGGTGTCAGGAGACGCGTCCTCCTCTGATGCTGGCCCTCTGTCATCTCCTTGCACAGACATTTGGCTGTGACGGCCGGATGGACTCTCAGCAGGCGTGGGACGTGTGCCGGGTGTGTGGAGGGGACAACAGCACGTGCAGCTTCCGGAATGGCTCTTTCACAGCGGGGACGGCCAGAGGTAGGGTAGGAAGCAGCCCCCAGAGCCCCGGCACCCACAGCCTTGGCCCAGGCTGCTGTGCGGGCGTCCTTCCCCCACAATGCCAGCCTCCCATGGCCGGCTCAGACCTTGGCAGCGATGCCACCACCAGATGGGGGCACCTCGTCACCACTCACTACAGCTGCCATGCAGAAAAACATAGACACTGCATGCGTGGCAGGCAGGGCTCTTCCGAGCACCCAGGAAATCCTACTGGGGGACTCAAGCAGGCAGGGAGGCGTCACAGGGGCAGCCCTTGCCTTTGGACTACGTCGAGTCAGGTGCCTGGTCCAGCGCCAGTGTATGGTGGTCCTGGGGAACTGGTGCACCCTGCCGGGCAGGAGGCCCTCCACCTGGCCCCTGCTCCCAGCCGGGGCAGGGCCTTGCGGGTGGCTCCCCAGCCGGGTTTGGGTTGCTCTCCTGACAGGGATTCACTAAGTGGAGGCAACCCTGTGGCACCGTCAGCTGGGATCGGCTGGCTTTGACTGTGATGTGGGTATCCCGAGGCCCCAAGGTCCCCCACTTTGCTTTTCCCTAGAATATGTCACATTCTTGACAGTCACCCCCGACATGACTGGGGTGCGCATCGTCAACCGCAGGCCCCTCTTCACGCATTTGGGTGAGTCGACCCGAGGACACCACCATCCCTGGTCCCCAAGATGGCCTCACTTCTGACCCCAGCTGCAGGTTCAGGGGGTTCGCAAAATGGCCCTGGCTTTCTAATTCACCAGGAGAGTCCCGGAGCTCACAGAGGGAAGCTACCCTCCAGGTTATGCTTCCCAGGGGAGGGAAGCGAGAAGGGAAGGTGGTGGGGCTGACGTGCAGGGCTGTGTCCCAGGACCTGGCAGCCTTCCAGCACTGAGACTCAAGGTACAGAGCGTGATGCTCAGGAAGCTCCCTGAAGCTGGGAGCTTGAGTTTCTGTTGGGCTTCAGTCCATAGGGCGGTTGATGGACAGTGATACCCCAGGATAGTGTCCTCCGGGGTCTTGGGGCTCCATGGAAGCCATGTAGCTGGCCTCTCTGGTGTGGGCAGCCCTGCACCTGACCTTTGAGCCCTTGACAAGGGTGTTTGCCCTGGGGCCCAGCCACTGACCCGCGAGTGGTACTTTGTGTGTGAGGACCCTGGGAGGGATGGAGGCTGTGACCACACTAGGTTCCAAGTGAGGCATGGCGGGAGGCTGTAGGGAAGCCTTCCAGGGTGGGGGAGCATGCAGAGGGAGAGGCCAGGAGGACCAGCTGCCTAGGGGAGGCTGGGGACCCCAGGGGCTGACACCGCTTCTCACAGCAGTGAGGATCCGAGGGCACTACGTTGTGGCTGGGGAAGGCAGCATCGCGCCCAGCACCACCCACCCATCCCTCCTGGAGGACAGCCGCATGGAGTACAGAGTGGCCCTCTCTGAGGACCGGCTACCCCGCCAGGAGGAGATCCGCATCCAGGGACCCGTCCAAGAAGACGTGGAGATCCAGGTCTTCAGCAGGCAGGGGAGCCAGGGTGGGGGCTCCAGCTCTGCTCTCTTGTTTGTCATTTGTTCACTCACTTATTGGTCGGTGCCATGGTCATCTGGGGGAGCTGCCAGGTGTGGGGCCCTGTGCAGCTCATCGGCCTCACTGGGGAAGGGAGGAGCTCTGGAGCTGGGGGTGGTAGGCAGGGCCAGCAGGAGCTGTGGTGCAGAGGGAGCTCAGGGTGTGCCCAGTCCTGATGCCTCTCTGGGGCCAAGGTTCACAGCACCCAGGGAGGCTCTGTGTGGCTGTGCGTGCTCAGCTGGGGCCCAGAGTCAGTGTGCAGCTGAGATGGCCTGGAGGACACTGGGGTTCCGGCCGAGGCACCTCTGGCATCCTGGTCCCCTCCTGCTCTGCTGCTGCCCGGAAATGCTGACCCAAATGCTTGCTGCCGGGAGCTCCTCCAGCATCCAGGAAGCATGCTCTTCCAGGGGCCCTGGAATCCCCCTGTTTCCTGCAGAAGCCTGTGGGGTGGCCGGCCATGGGCCCGGAGGCGACAGGGGCTGATGGCACACTGTGCTGTAGGATCTGCCTCCAGGCTGGCCCTTCTCTTGGGTCTAGACCCCTCTGCAAGTGCACACAGGCCCAGATGCCCTGCCGAACACCTTACAGTTCCAAAGGTCAAGCCAGGCCACCAGGTGGCCACACGGCCTCTAAGATCGTGTCCCTTCCTGCTGCCCCTGGCTGAACTCTCGCTGTGGAAGCTCATGGGGTGCTAGACTCACCTGGACACTGAGCTGGGTGACCCTTGCTGGAGGCTCCACTGCAGTCCGTCCCCACTCCAGAAAGACTGGGAACCCCTGCTCCATGCGCCCACAGTACCTGTCCCTTGGGAAGCACTACCTGGGCCCTTAGCTCAGATGGTGCTGTCTGCTATGCTGTCCCCAGGGCCTGGCAATGTGGGGCTGAGGAATGAAATGTGCAAAGGCTTCTGGGGGCTGGTGGCCATGGTGGTGGCCCCGGGCGCCCACTGGACAGGGTCTGGCCCCTGCAGGTGTACAGGCGGTATGGCGAGGAGCATGGTGCCCTCACCCGCCCAGATGTCACCTTCACCTACTTCCAGCCCAAGCAGCAGGAGGTGTGGGAGTGGGCTGCGGAGCGTGGGCCCTGCTCCGTGAGCTGTGGGGAAGGTGAGGCCCAGGACAGGGTCGCCCGCAGCCCCGCTGGCCCCTGCTTGGAGGTGGCCGAGCCCTGGCTCTGCCCTTGCAGGGCTGCACCGGGTGTTCTACAGCTGCCTGGACCGGGCCCAGAATGTGTGGGTGGAGGCCACTTGGTGTCAAGGGAGCCCGAAACCACCCGCCTGGGTAGAGCCCTGCGTCCCCATGCCCTGCCCTCCTAGGTAAGTGCGGGCTCAGGGACCCATGGGGCCTGCATGGGGTGGCTCTGCGTGTGCCTTTATTTAGTGCCGAGGTCGCTCTGGGTGTGGGCTTCATCGGTGACCCCATTTCTCAGGTGAGGGACTGTGATTCAGGACAGACGCGGTGACAGTGGCTGCCTGCTGTGACCATACCTACTGCTACCTTATCTGGGCAGCAAGGTCCTAGGAGACTGGAGGGAGGCCTGGGGCTGGGGCCAGCACTGACCAGGTCCTGTGTGGTCCTCAGGCAGGAGGTGTCAGAGCCCGGCCTGAGCACCGAGGCTGGGGGAGCAGGCCTGGCCTTGCCCAATGTGACCCGTGGGCAGGGTGCCCATGGCCCGGGCTCACCAGCGACTGCAGGGGCCTGTGCCACCCACGAGATGCCACCTGCTGGCAAGGCCTGTGTTGGGACGGTGTGTCCTCCGGCCTGGGCTCAGGTGAGTGGGTTGGGTACAGGGTGGCTGGGGCTCCTGGGTCCTACTTGGCTAGGAGAATTCGGAGGCCAGTGTCCTTTGGGCCAGAGCAGGAGCACTGTTTGCTGCAGGTGCTGCTGGGGCACAGGGTAAACAGAGCCTGTGGAGGGGCGGCAGGTTGGGAGGACAGAGGCCTGTTAGAAGCATCCTGGGAGGAGTTTAATTTAGTTGTTGTGCTGGGAAATGCTGCCCACCCTGGCTGGTAACCAGGCTCCCGAGGCTGAGTGAGGCTGCAGGCCAGGCTTGCAACCCCGCTATGCTCTCCAGCTCTCGGCCCACCCCACGGAGGACACTGCCACTGCCGAGGAGCCTGCAGATGCCAAGGTGGGCACACGGCAGGGGCGCGGTGGGGTGGAGGGCCCTGTCTGCTCTCCTCTGTCTCCTGATCAGGTCAGGGTGGGTGCAGGTGAGCTGAGTGCCAGGTGGAGGCAGGAGTCCCGACTCACCTGCTCACCCCCACCCCTGCAGCTGCACACCAGGTCTCCAGAGGAGGAGCCTCCAGCCGCACACAGGTGGACTCCTGAGCTAGGGCTGTGCTCTGTCTCCTGTGGTCGAGGTGAGCGCCCCCAGGATGCTCCCGATGGCCAGCATGGTCCTTAGCTCTCTTACCTGCCTGCTTCTGCCTTAGACCCAGCAGCCATTTGCAGTGGCCCCAGAAAACCCAGCCTTGTGGGTACAGGGCATAGACAGGGGACTGCAGCCAGGTCTGAGCCTGCACCCAGTGTTCACTGAGTGGGCAGAAGGTTGGGAGCGAGAGTAACACGTGGCGAGGGTGCACCGACTGGCGTCCCTTACAGCCAGGACAGGTGTAAGAGATGGTCCAGCCGGCCACCAAAGAGAAGCAAAGTCAGACACATGTAGTGGCTCTGTGTTCCTTTCTGACAGAGGTAAAAGACAGTGGGAAACTCACCATTTTGACTATCAAAGTGTTCTGTCCATCAGCGTCTAGCACGTTCACATTGTCCTGCAGAAGTCTGCTCCATCCATCTATCCGGAAATTTTCTGCCACCCCAAACTGACCCCCTGTCCCCAGTTAAGCACCAACTTCCTATTCCCATCTACAGCCACTGGCCACCTGTGTTCTACTTCCTGTCCCTGTGGATCTGACTCCTCGAGGGCCCTCAGATTCCTAGAGTCCCACAGGGCTCGTCCTTCGGTGACTGGCTTCTTTCACTTGGCGTGGTGTCCTCTGAGTTCCCCCTGTAGCAGCTGTCAGGATTGTTTTCTCTCGCAAGGCTGAGAAGCATCTTCATAGGATGGGCCAGGCTTTATCTCTCCATCCTTCCATGGATGGATGTGCGGCTCACTTGCTGTGATAATGCCTCTCTGCACAGGTGCTGCAGATCCTTCCGAATACCTGCTGCCTGTTGCTCCTTTGGGGCGTCTCCTGGAAATAGGGGGGCTGCTTGATCACATGCTCATTCCGTGTGTAACTGTCTGAAGAATCCCTCTACTGCTTTGCAGTAGAATTTTACATCCTGACCAGCTGGGCATGAGGTTCAGAGTCCTCCATCTCCTCAGTGTCTGTTACTTCTCAGGTTTGAAAAGCTTTAGTTCCATAGCAGCCATTTCGAAGGGTGTGAGGATATGCACAAGGTCCTAAGGCCCTAAGCACATGGCCCATCTGACCTCAGCAGGCCTAGAGCTGAGGCCAGATGGAGACGCTCCTAAAGCAGCCCTAAGAAGAGGTGTGCTTGGGTCGGGGATTTAGCCCAGTGGTTCCGGCGCCTGCCTCAGAAGCGCAAGATCCCGAGTTCAATCCCCAGTGAAATGCTCTTCTAGCAATTCTTACCACGTCTCTCCATGCCCAACAGTACCTTCCATTTGCGGAGCACCTATGTGTGCCAGGTACTTTGTAGCTCTCCTTTTACACCTTTTAAAATGACTATGCAGGTAGGCACTGTAATACAAAAAGCCTGAGGCTCAGGGAGGGTAAGTCACTTACCCAAGGTCACACAGCCAGTAAGTGGCAGAGCCAGGGCTCAGGCCCCATGGGCCTTGTCGGCCAGAGCTGTCCAGCGAGCCATGTGCTGTGGCCCTTGCTGAGCCACCTCTTGGGGTGAGGGGCCCCTGCTCTTCCCTGCAGGACTGATGGAGCTGCGATTCCTGTGCACGGACTCAGTCCTTGGGACGCCTGTGCAGGAGGAATTGTGTGACTTGGCCAGCAGGCCTGGGAGCCGGTGGGAGGTGTGCCAGCCTGGCCCGTGCCCTGCCCAGTGAGTGGGGTAGGGAGACTGGGGGAGGGGGAGGGGCCCGGCCCAGGGGTGGCATCCTCGTGAGCTTGGCCTTTCTCCTGCAGGTGGGAGGCCCGGGCCTTGGTGCCATGTCCTGTGACCTGCGGAGGCGGGCGGATCCCCCTGGCTGTGCGCTGCGTGAGGATGGACCACGGCCGCCCTGTCCCTCTGCCTCCCTCTAAGTGCTGGCCCACACCCCAGCCCGGCCCCTTCCAGGACTGCAGCCCGGAGCCCTGCCCGGCCAGGTGAGCCCCTCGCCCAGGGACGGACAGCCCTAGTCTGCACCCCAGCTCTGCTGCCCCTCCTGACCCTCAGCGTCTGGGCTGCAGGAGCCATCGTCCTGCTGCCCAGCAGGCTGCGGGGCCTAAGGAGACACCCCCTCGTGTCAGCGCCGCAAAGGGCGCAGGGTGCTGTGGGCGCCATGCTGGCTCCCATTTACTCCCCACCCACTCTGTATGGGCACCTGCTACGCCTGAGTGCTGCTCGGGGCCAGGGGACACAGCGGAGAACAAGAATCCCCCCTCCTGGAGCTGAAGGGGGCAGGGATGCTGGACAGTGGCTGGGACACAGTGGGGCAGTTTGATGCGGAAAGCAGAACTGCGGGATCCCTTTGTGCCAGGCGCCTTCACAGGGTCCCCTTCACACTGGCTGCCCGCACTGCCCCAGACTCGCACGTGCCACCTGTTGTTGGCCCCCGGCTTCCCTCTCCACGAAGTGGGTTACTCTGAGCACACCGTCCCCGGGCTGAGCTGCTGGGGGACACAAGGGGGACCCCAGGGAGGAATTTCCCCAGGCCCTCCCCGGCCTCCTGTCTCCCCGGTCTGGAGGGACGACGGGGAGACCTGGCTCTTTGGGTCTCAGCCACGGGGCTCCAGGCCTACTGCGCTGGTTTGTTCCAGGTGGAGCTACAAGTTGGCAGCCTGCAGTGTCAGTTGTGGGGAGGGGTCACGCAGGGGACCCTGTGCTGTGCTTGGGCCCAGGGGCACGGTGAGGCCGAGGAGATCCTGCCTTGCCCAGAGCTCCAGGAGGCCTGCAGCCTGGAGCCCTGGCCCCCAGGAGAGGGGAGGTGACAGGTCCTGGGGCAGAGTGGTGCACGGTGACGCCCACAGGCACCTGGGGTTATAGACACAGGACAGCCGGGCGGGCTGCGCTGGGCTTGGGAGGTGAGGCCCACGTGCCAGGGAAAGGGTGGCGTCCTGTGGGTGCAGTTGTGGGGAGCCCAGGGGAAGGAGCCACCGGACCTGCAGAAGGGGGAGGCCTGGACTGGTCCCAGCAGGGATGGTGACAGAGCCACCACCAGAGGGCGCCCCGTCCCTCCCATAGTTTGTGTGCTGGCCGGTTCACATTTTGTAACTTTATGGTCCCTCCAGCACAGTGTCCCGGCATCTCCCTTCATGCCGAGGTCCCTGGGCTCAGGTTATTCAGAGCCGGGGTGGGGTTTTATGGTGATGGCCGCCCCTTGGAAGATGCCGCAGCCACTCTGGCCTCTCGCTGTCCTGGAGGTTTCCAGGGGTCCTGCACTTGGCTCCCCAGGGCTTGAGGATTCCTTGGGGGAGCAAGGCTCCGCCCCGACCAGTGCACAGTGGCAACTTCTGATTTGTTTTTGATTTTTTTTTTTACTATACCAGGGCCTTTGCACTGAGCTACGTCCTCAGCCCTTCTCTGCTTTTTATTTTGAGACAAAGTCTCACTAAATCGATAAGTTGCCCAGGCTGGACTTGAACATGGCAATCCTCCTGGCTTAGCCTCCCAGAGTGCTGGGATTACAGGCATGTGCCAACCCTGAAGATGCTTCAGTGGTCACAGCAGGGGGACCTGCTGCTGCCTCCCACAGGGCATGGGGCAGGCCCCAGGCCAGCAGCACCAGGGGGAGACCATATGCCCCGAGGGCTGGGGTCACAGCTTGTCCCTCCTCAGCAACCCTGTCCCTCTGAGGACACAGGGTTGAGGGCAGCATTGCAGGCTGTGAGTTAAGACCTGGACTGCAGTGCGGGGTGCCTGGATTCACGTCTGGGCTCTGGGAATTGCCTACCGCTCCCTGCTGCATTCATTTTGAAGTGAGCTGGCAGGGCGGGGTCGCATGGGCCTTGCCGCCGCTTGTGCGCGGTGGTGCATCGGGTCCATTTCTGTTCCTTGGGCCTTGTACCTATGTCCTGGGCAGCGAGCAGCTGTGGGGTGTGGCTGTCCTGTGACAAAGGGGAAATGGGCCACTTCCTGCAGAGCCCTTCAGAACCATTCCTGGCCCAGGGAGCCCGAGACCCGGCCAGAGGTCTGGCCAAGTTCCCTCACCTGTCCAGCGATGGCTGGAGGAGCAAGGCGCTCACGTGGGCCTTCTGTCCCTGCAGGTGGAAAGTCCTGTCCCTAGGCCCATGCTCAGCCAGCTGTGGCCTGGGCACTGCGACACGTGCAGTGGCCTGCATGAGGCTGGACCAGGGCCGGGACGCAGAGGTGGCTGCAGCTTCCTGTGAGTCGTTGGTGCAGCCGCTGGCCAGTGTCCCCTGCTTCCTGGCTGACTGCACCTATCGGTGGCACATCAGCCCCTGGACAGAGGTAGGGGCTGCTATGGTGCTTGGACTTCCCCTGCGGAAGGTGTGGAGTTCAGGTGCCCTGGTGGCTCTGGGGCCACTGAGGGCCCTGAGAGGAGGGCACCAGGCCGAGTCTGGAGCTGGCCTCCGGGAAGCCGGAGGGGACTCTCTGGCCTGTGTCTCGGGCTGTGTAACAGAGACACCTGCCCATCTTCCAGGTTAAAGCTGAGCCTACCTGGCCTGTGGGCACCACTGTCCCCAGCACCCTGTGTCCAGGTCAGCCACAACCCCTCCCCCTCTCCCCCACAGTGCTCCGTCTCCTGTGGGGACGGCATCCAGCGCCGGCGTGACACCTGCCTTGGACCGCAGGGCCAGGCACCCCTGCCGGCCAGCTTCTGCCAGTACTTGCCCAAGCCAGTGATGGTGCAGGGGTGCTGGGCTGGGCCCTGTGAGGGACAGGGGGGCTCCAGCCTGGCGCTCCACGAGGATGCCACCACTCCAAGCCCAACCATGGCTGCCGCTGCTGCTGCTTCTCTGGAGTGGTCCCCGCCCCCGGCCCAGGCCCACCTCGTCTCCCCTGCTTTTCGGCCTCCAGGGCCCCAGGAGAGGCCAGCAGAGTCCAGTTAGGTTCCTTGGCCCTGCCTCTGGGAGGATGGTGGCAAAGGCACCTGTCAGGAGCCAGGACTTCCCTAGTGCTGGAGCACCGGGCCTTGGAGGGTGACGGTGACCCATGCAGCCCCTCCCGGACCCAGGGAGGCCCTTGCATAGCAGAGGAAGCCCTGGCCTGCACTGCCGGGGACCCCACAGCTCTGCTCACCCCATTGCTCCGCTCCTTCTGCAGGTGTCTGTGGCAGGCAGCACCTGGAGCCTACGGGAACCATCGACATGCGAGGCCCTGGCCAGGCAGACTGTATTGTGGCCATTGGGAGGCCGCTGGGTGAGGGGGTGACCCTCCAGGTCCTCGAGAGTTCCCTCAATTGCAGCGCAGGTACATCTAGGGCCACTGCTGCCAGGTACAGGGCCACCAGGTTCCAGGGCCACTCCAGGTTGCCCCATTCCCACGGGATGCTCCCCATGCATTCCTACTCATTGTCACGGTGACTCATGACCTGTCCCTACTTCACAGGCATGCACCTGAAACCAGGGAGATTCAGTAACGCGCCCGTACTTGGAGCCCTATAGCCAGGGAGAGGGGTGTCGACTGGGTCTCAGCTTAGCCTACCCCTGAGCTGCTGCTGCCAGCCTGGGGCAAGGGCGCTGGGCCCTCACATCTCCCCACTTTCTAGGGGAGTCCTTGCTGCTCTGGGGCCGGCTCACCTGGAGGAAGGTGTGCAGAGACCTGGCCGGCGAGACTTTTGCCTCCAAGACCAACACGCTGGTGGTGCGACAGCACCGAGAGCAGCCGGGGGATGGAGTGGTGCTCCGGTACCGGAGCCAGCCTGCGGCGGAAGCCTTCCACAGAGGTACAGCGAGGGGCTGGGGTCACCCCTGTTTCCCCATGGGGTGACCAGGCCTGTGCTGCTGGGGCAGTGGGTAGGACAGAGTGGCAGCAGCTGGCCAGGGCTGGTCTGGGCATGCAGCCAGGATGAGGTTCCAGGACGCGGCTGTGGTCCTTCCTGTCCAGCCATGCAGCCGGCTGGGTGGATGTGAGGCAGGGTCCGCATCCGCCCCACCCTTCAGGCCCTCGCGCTCGGCCTTCAGCTCCCTCAGGGGCCTTAGCACCCTTCTGTGAGCCACTCTCCCTCAGTTCTCGTCCTGCGCACTGCTGTTCACGTGTGTCCCTGCACCCACGGCGCACAGGTGCCCGCCGCCCCTCCTCAGACAGAGGCCGGCGTTTCGGGGACCCTCTGGCTGTCTCTGGGGCTCGCTCTGGGCCTCCCAGCAGCCCAAGGTGGCCGAAGTTGGCTCTGCCAGCCGCTCACAGAGGTTGCAGGGGGTGCAGGGGCTTGGCCGCAGCAGAAGTTCACTTCACCACCCTCTGCCCCGGCACCCCCCGCCCCTCGGCAGGGAGCTGTGCTGCCGGTCCTGCTCCCACTGCCCCTCACTGCCTGGCTTCAGCACATTCGGGCACTGGTGGGAGGGCGGCCGAGGGAAGCACTCGGGGTGGTGAGTGGGCTCCTGGCAAGCGCTATAGAGCCGACCTTTGTCCTAAAAGGTCCCTTCCCAGGGTGAGCCGCATTCCCTTCACTCTACCGAGGAGGCAGGGACGGGAGCATGAGCTTTGAAGGTCTTTGCCTGAAGTTGCTCAGGCAGGACGAGGTGGAAGCAGGGGCCTGAGGCTTCTGCCTGGGATCCTCTGAAGATGACCTTTGTGCCCCCTGGCTGTGAGCTGCCCTGCTGTCCCCATCTGTCTGGGTTTGTGTGTCCCTGAAGTGGCCCGCCCCGAGTCTGCCATCTGTTCTCCCCTGCAGAATGCGACCTCCAGCTCTTTGGCCCCCGGGGTGATATCCTGAGCCCCCGACTGAGTCCAGATGGGAGGACTGCAGGTGGCTGCCGGGTCTTCATCAGCGTGGCTCCGCAGGCCCGCGTTGCCATCCATGTCCTGGCCACCGACGTGGGCACTGGGACCATTGGCAGCTACATCTCAGTGAGGACCCCAGGGTCGGGACTGGACAGCTGGCCCTAGAGATGAGACAGGGACTGGGCTCTGAGGACCCCCTCAGTTACTTCAGACCCCGAATCTCAGAATCATTACTGGAAAAATGGGAAGGAGAATTTCCCCTACTTACTCAACAAATGTGTGTTGCGTTACCTGCCGGAAGGAAGTGGCAAAGCCCAGCTGCGTGTCTCCGATGGGGCTCTCTCTGGTGAGGGGTCCCATCATCCCAACTGCCTTTTTCCTCCCAGATCCGGGACACCCACAGCACAAGGACCACGACCTTCCGTGGGCAGCAGGCGCTCTACTGGGAGTCAGAGGGCAGTGAGGCTGAGATGGAGTTCAGCAAGGACTTCCTGGAGGTGCATGCTGGCCTGCGAGGCCGGTACTGGACCCTCCCCCCGAGGGCGCCGGAGGGGGACCCTGCCCTAGCGGTCTCTCCAAGCAGAGGAAGGGAAGCCAGGGTGCCTGACACTCCCTGAGCACCTGTGTGGCCAGTCCTGGGGGTTGAACTGTGTCCTGAAAGTGCGTCCCAGCTCTTACTTAAGCAGATCTTAGGGACTCTCCTTGAGGGTCCTCTCCAGTGTGCAAAAACCTAGGGGTGGGAGGTGGAGATGGCCTAGAAGGCCGTTCCCAGCCCCTCAGGTACCAATAAAGGAAGCAGGAGCCCTGACTGGTGTTTTCTTCATATGACCTGTCCAAGCCTGGCTTGACACCGGTCCTGCCGCAGGGCAGGGTTTCCCTGGGTGCAGTTGGCTTATCCTGGCCTGAGCAGGCCCCTGGCCACCTCTAGTTGTCCTCTTCCTGTCCAGGAGTCCGATTAGGCCCTGAGGCCTGCGCATCTGGCACCTGTCCACACACCTGCTGGCTCTCAGCGAAGCGTAGCCCTTACACTAGCCCTGCCCCTATGCTAATGAGGCCCAGCCCCCTCGGGCCTGCCAATAGGCGGCCTCTAGCCCCGCCCCTTACACTAATCTACCAGCCTCCCACCCCTACTGCTCGTGAAGGCCCCGCCCCTCGTGCTGATGGAGCCCCGCCCCCTCAGGCGCTGCTCTGCCCGACCTGAGGGCCCCGCCCCTACGCTAATGAGCCCGGAGCCTTCCCGGAGCCTTGGCCCGAGGCCTGCGAGCCCCGCCCCCTATGCTAATATCTCCTCTCCCACAAGGCAGTGCGCGGGTGGACGCGGCTCTTTGTGCGGCTCTTTTTGCGGCTCTTTGTGCGGGGGCAGCGCCCGGGCACCATGAGCGGCTCCGGCGGGCCGGGGGCGCCCGCGGGCCCTGCGCCGCCCGCACAGGAGGAGGGCATGACGTGGTGGTGGCGCTGGCTGTGCCGCCTGTCGGGCGTGCTGGGGGCCGTCTGTGAGTACCCGGCGGGGACCTGCAGCGGGCGGGGGGGCAGGAGCGACGCTGCTCCCGGCCGGGTGGGACCCAGCGCCCCTTCTCTCGGGTGGTTCGAGGCCCGGGTACGGCGGCCCCGTGCTGGGCTTTCTCTCTGCGCGGCGGTTCCCGGGGGCCGGGCTGTCAGTCCCCGGAGCAGTCGTTCCCCTTTCCTGACGCCTCCACGGAGGGAGGTTGCCAGGACCCGCGCTCACCCGGCTGGGCGGGCCGCCCGGGCAGATCCGTCCCCAGCAGGAGCCGGGTTCAGCGGCTGGGAGGCTGCGCCCTGGCCCGTGGCACTGTCCAGAGCCAGGTTCTTGACTCAGGAGCACCTAGGGGTCGAAGCCAAGTCCTCTCGAATGTCCTGAGCTGCATCCCGGCGACTCCAGTGGACGGTGGAGGGGAGGCTCTGACTGGGGCCTGAGGCTGTCCCCTCCCGTGGTCTTGATGGGTGGCCCAGCTGACTCCAGTCCAGTCCTGTGCTTCTCAAAGCCCGGGTGCTGTGCTGGGGCCACAGGGCGGCTTGAGGTCAGGGCACCTGCCCCCTGTGGGTGTTGTCATGCAAGGACCAGGCCCACACCCTGAGGAAGGCACACATGCATCTGCTTTAGAGCTGATGCAGGGATTCAGACAGGGCTGGGCGCCTAGCTGGCCTCTCTGAGTTAGGTTGCCCTCCCCTGCCATGAGGGTCCGCCCCGGGAGCTGGGGAGGCATCTACCCTCGTCCTGGGGCATCTGGACACAGTAGTGAGGGGGCCTGGCAACAGTGCCTCATGGGGAGGACAGAGTACTAGAGACCCCAAGGGACATCCTCCAGCCCTTTGTAGTTGAAGGACTCCTGGTGGAGCCTGCCGGTCTGGCTTGAGACCTGGCCTCCCAGGGCTGGCTGGGAGGTCAGTGGGATAGGGGCGGGGCTGCAAGCCAGGTGCAGGTCATCTGCAGGTCCTGAGGTGAGACTGGGCCAAGACAGGTGCAGGCAGAAGGCTCCTGTCCCCGAGCCTGTGGCCCTGGGAGCCTTGCTGCCTGAGGCAAATGTTACTAAGGATGCCCACGACCTGCGCCAGCTGGAGCCCTGCAGTATAAGAGTCCGTGGGCACATGAGGACAGCCTCTCTCCGGCTGGGTCACTTCACCTGGTCTCCATGGCCTGCTGCCCGCGTAGAGTTACACAGGAAGATGGAAAACGGCAAGATTCCAGGCCCTAGTGGAGTCAGGTGCAGGGGAGCTGCTACAAGTTTAATGACCTGGTGCTAATTGCTGCCTCCGAAGGCCAGTGCCCTGCCCACCCTGGCGACAGCTCCCGAGTTCCTGGTGAAACCTGTGGGCAGCTGTGGGTGGGCAGCCGGTGGGTACAAGGAGGGAAGACCGCCTGGCTCCACCTTTGGAGCATGAAGAAACTTTGATCTGGTGCCTGTCCGGGCCCCTTGGTGTTCCAGCAGTGGGTGGGTGTGCTACACCCGAATATAAGAGAACTGGCTGGAAGGAGGAAGGGAGCTATCACCTGGCTTTTACCTGGTCCCTGTCTCCACAAGAGAAACGTTTTGTCTCAACCCAGATCTACTCCACACTCTGAGGCAGAGGCTTCCTGTGGCCAGCCCAGGGTGTAGTGACAGCTGGCCCTTACTGAGGGATCAGGCTGGGCAGAGCACTGGCCTGGCCTGCAATCCTTGCCACCCTGTGGGGTGAGTGTGGATACAGCTGGGGCCAGAGGGTGACCACTCTGAGGCCCGAAGGTGGCCCTCCTGCCTCCTTGCTGGGGCTGGGGGCTGGCCCTTCCCCTCTCTGAGTGGCCGCTTGATGCCATGTCAGATGACGGAAGCCTGCTCATGCCTGCTGCGTCTCCACTTTCCAGCCTGTGCTGTCTCCGGCCTCTTCAGCTGCATAACCATCCACCCCCTGAACATTGCGGCTGGTGTGTGGATGATGTGAGTAGCCGTGGCTGCCTTGCCCTGGTGGGGTCTGAGGCTGTGGTTTTCTGGCTAGAGCACGGGTCTCCTTCCTATACCCACCATGTCCAGGTCCCTGGCGAGGGGTCAGGGCCAGGGAATGGCATCCAGCCCCTTACCTGGGTTCACAGTCAAGGCCCCAGAAAACCCCTGAGCTCTGGGCCCTGGAGGAAGGCCCACCTTGGGAGGCACAGGGAGAGCTGGGGTGCACGCCAGGAAGGGCTGCCTGGCCTCGAGGTGGGTGGGCGGTGCTGGGGACAGGCGCATGCTGAGCTGCATCTGTTGGACAGGTGTCAGTGACACTTTCTTCCCAGCCTGGCGCAGACAGCCTGGCTGGGGCGAGGGCTCGGCTTGGTAACTGAGTTTCCCGGCCATCACACCGGCCAGATGCCCTGTCAGTGGCTTGGCTACTCAGGTGACAGGGGCCTGGACACAAGGACTTCTGAGTGCCTTTCTCTGCCACGTGGGCTTCCCATGTGTCCCATTGGGTCCCCAGCCCAGCAGTCGCCATGGCACTGGCACGGTCAGCCATCAGTGACTGTGGGTGCCTGGCCGGCCATTCTCTGTGCTCCTGCTGTGTGGCCTTCGCTGTGGTGGCAATATTGGCAGCCATGGCTACAGCACTAACGGCTGGCAGAGCTGCCAGGTGCTCCTGGAGGCTGTCGCCATAGCAAGGGGGCCTGCCCCTCCACGTCAGACAGAAGGGTAGAGGGACCGATGTCCCGGCGCTTCCCTCCAGGGGTGCAGGTGCAGGGGGCGGGGCTGGGGTGCCCACCAGAGGCTCTGAGGGCACGCACGGGTGCCCGGCATGACCAGGGTGGAGGGTGGCATTCCTGTGGCACCGGGGCTGCCCCGGCCCTGCCATGCCTCTCTCCCTCCCGTCTCCGCAGCATGAACGCCTTTATCCTGTTGCTGTGTGAGGTGCCCTTCTGCTGCCAGTTCGTGGAGTTTGCAAACGCAGTGGCCGAGAGGGTGGACCAGCTGCGCTCATGGCAGAAGGCTGTCTTCTACTGCGGGTGAGGGGCTGCGGGCAGGGAGCAGAGGGCCAGAGAGAGGGCGACAGTGCTGCAGAGTGTGGCCCAGGAGGGGCCAGGGCTTCAGCCTGCAGCCGCAGTGCCCATGAGATGAAAGGATGGTGTGCAGGGACCGGAAGGAATGGGCCCTTGACTGGGAGGTGTGGAGCAGACTCATCTGTGTGGGGCGCTCCCAGGGGCTTGCCTAGGTGTCTCGACATGAAGGAGTCAGGAACAGGACATCGCTGCTCTCTAAATACTCTGCTTTCATTTTCCTGTTTGTGACGAGGTCAGTGTGTGGCACTTCACCTCGGAGTCAGGGCCCTGAACTACTTCCAAGACAGATGTAATACTCTCCCTGGGCAGGGCCTGTGCCCGGGAGGCTGCCTGAGCAGCAATATTTATTATTGTTACCCAGCTGTCTTTAAGATAGATTCATGCCGGGGGTGGTAGAGCCTGCCTGTAATCCTAGCACTCTGGGAGGCTGAAGGAGGAGGATTGCAAGTTGAGCCCAGCCTGGGAAATGTAGCAATGTAGCAGGACCCTGCCCTGAAATAAAAAATACAAGGGCTGGGGATGTAGCTCAGCGTGAAAGCCCTGGGTTCAGTCCCCAGTACCAGGGGTGAAAAAAAAGCATAGATTCAGACACACTCGGGGCTGCCGGAGACCAGCAGTTTCTGCGGTGTCTAAATCTCCGAGAATCTCAGATCCAGGGTACCCACTGGTGGGCCTCATCGTACCTTTGGGGTTTTAGGTATGTATTTTCAAAAATCGCTAGATGGGTTTGTAAAATAGAAAAGTGTTACTCAGAGCCTCGCGCCCTTCTGGTGTGTCCCTTCCCGTCCAAATTCAGGCATTTCTTAAGCTTGTTTTTAACAGTTATAACCATTATCAATAACTTTGTTTGTACCTGCTTTTTTCACTTAATGTAACAATATAAACATTTTTATGTCACCCCCGAAGACTTTATGACATTATTTGTAATGATAGAAATATTTGTTCATTCTTTTTCAAATTTGTTAACTGATATTAATGAACTGTGACCAACATTTCCCTGCTAACACGTACATGTTTATGATGATTTCCTTAAGATGTACTTCCAGGTATGGAATTAGCAGGTCAAAGACAATGATCATGAAAAAGATTTTAATGCATATGTTCAGATGCTTTCCAAAGAGGCCTTCTGTGTGTTCTCCTGACCCCGGTCCCCTGTGCTGGGTGCCATTTTTACATTTGTATTTGTTACATAAGGGATAAAGTATTTCCCATGTGTTCTAATTGCATCTTCATACTTGAATGTTTTCTGCTTTACTTTTTCAATTTATTAGAGTCCCAGGGTTTGCTTAGCAGGTCATAGATGTTTTCTGTATTAAAGATTTCATTCTCCTTTGTTATATTTCCTGCAAATACTTCTCCAGCCTATGGTTTGCCTTTCATTTTGTTTCAACAGTTTCTTCCTGCTGTGAGCCTCCCTTTCCCTCGTGGTTTTTATTGTTTCTCTATTAACGATGCTCCTCCACTTCTGATGGGGTTACAACCCGATGAACTCATTGTTGAAAATACTGTAAATTGAATACAACTCCCCTCCCAAACACCACCGCCCAGCCTGGCCGGCCCCAAATGCCTTGAGAGCCCTTGGTGTCTCCTCATCGGGTGTCTTGACGTGACACTGGGCATGTCACTAGGCCAGGGAAAGATCAGGACTCAAAATTCAGAGTACAGTTTCCACTGAGTGGGACTTGAAGTGTTTTTGGTACCTGAGGATCTCCTGAACACAGGTCCCCCAAGACAGACGGGAATGCAGATGGAGCGTGGCTGGGAAGCTGCGGGACAGCGCCCCCTTCAGGTTGGCAGGTGCCAGGATCAAGAATGGGCTGCACGGCTTTTAAAGCCAAGTGGACCCCACCACCAGGTGGCGCCCCTGCAGCCGTGCGCCTGAGTTCCCCGCGTTGCAGTCGGGTCGGGGTTGCTGAGCGGCGGCTGGCTTTCCTGTACTAGCAAAGAGCATTTATCTGGTGCTTATGATGGCCCAGGGTCGTGTTAAGTGGCTGACACACCGTCCTTGGCCAGATTCACTACCTCTCTGAGGTGTCACCCACTTCTCTTGGAGAAGCTGAGGGCTCTGGGGCCAGAGTAGACTCCAGATTCGCTGGGCACGGCCTCTGTTTTCATGAGCAGTGGGTGCCTGGACCAGCTTGTTACCGTTTAACTCATTTTCACAGGCCTGTCAAAACTCTTACAAGCTTTCGGATCAAGTTCAGGGGCCAAGTTTCGGATCAATTCAAGGACCTTCTGAAGCCAGCTGTGAACTTGTCTGGTTGACCTCTAGGGCTTCTTCCTGCCCCTCAGTTGTCTGGGGGGGAGCGGGTGAAACGGGAAGCCCAGGGCATTGTGGGGCGGGAGTGTGCCCTTGACCTCTGTCTGTCCCCCAGGATGGCCGTCGTCCCCATCATCATGAGCCTGACCCTGACCACGCTGCTGGGCAATGCTGTCGCCTTTGCCACCGGGGTGCTGTATGGACTCTCTGCTTTGGGCAAAAAGTGTGTCTGCAGCCCCTACAAGGGCGGGGGGTTGTGGGTCTCCCGGGCTTGGTGGGGAAGTGGTCCCTGCATGGACATGGACGTCCAGGCATTGCTGTGACTGCCCAGTATTCTAGGGATGGAGGTGGGAGAACTCAGGGGATGCTCTGAGTGACCCCACCTTGCCTGGCCCAGCCAGGATGTGCCCTGGGCATTTCAGCCGGTCACCCTGTTCCTGAAGAGCCTGGCCTAGGGATGGAGTCTTCTGGGCCTGGCGTCCTGGCACCTGTGCCACTGTCAGAGGTGGCCCAGCCTTTTCAGTGGGCTCTGCAGCAGTGCCTGCCTGGGTAGCAGCACAGGAATTGGGGGGCACCTGGGCTGTGCCCTGTGGGACACCCATCATTTTCGGGCTTCTTTATTCTCTCCCCAGAGGTGATGCCATCTCCTACGCCCGGATCCAGCAGCAGAAGCAGCAGGTGGATGAGGAGAAGTTGGTGGAGACTGTGGAAGGGGAGCTGTGACGTGGGTTGTGCCAGCCCTCCCTCCCTCCCTCCCTCCCTGCCTGTCTCCTGGCTCTGGGGGAGCTTGTCTGGAGGAGGCTGAGGCAGGGCTTGCCAGAGGAGGGCCCACACGTGTCCTTGGTAAGGCCACGCCCCTTTCTGCCGAGCAGCTGAGCCCGCTCCTGACCCTGCTGGCGCTGAGGGTTGCAGCACTGCACAGATGGCCACCTGGCCCAGCGCTGCTGGTCTGGCTCGGCGAACAGGCCACTACGGGGCTGCAGATTCCATGGTCTGGGTGCAGCTTCCATGGGACACATGGGGCCTGCTCGAGGGGCTCCCACCCTAGTCCTTTGGGCCTGAGCATCGAGTAGAGGGAGCACCCCGGCTCCCCGGCAGGTGGGGTTTCCAGTCCTTCTGTTTGCCTGTCCACAGGGCAGGGTGTGGGTGAGGCAGTGTCCTGAGACATCACTGCTGGGGACCTGGCTGGTCCTCCAGGAGCCCACAGTGGAGCCCTGCCCAGGTCAGCAGGCCTGTGTGGCCTAGTGGCCGGGTGGAAGCATTCCCGCGCCAGTTCCCTGGCACCTTGGACACCCAGCTGGCCCACCTCCTGCAGGCCCAGCTCCCAGGTCCTGCCCTGCCCCACCTTGGTGGGTGCTAAGGAAGTGAGGTTATCCCCCCACCCCCCGAGGTCCTGCCCTGTGTTGACGACAGCCACTCCCCCCGACCAGGGCCGAGGTGGCCCGCCGCAGGTTTGCCTGCCTGAGCAGCTTCCTGTTGTGGAGAGCCACTCCCTACAGGGCTGTCCCGTGCCAGGCCCCAGAGCCAGATTGTGCCCAGAAGCAGCCCCTTCTGGCCGTGCCTTGTCACACCCTCTGTACTTCCTGCAACTTGGCCACCTCCCTCCTGCCTCCTGCCCCGTGACTTCGGCCTCAGATACTGATTAGACCCATCCTTGGCTGTTGGGCACATGCCTGTGGGTTGCTGTGATATGCTGTTGTGGGGCTGGCCCTATTCCTGCAAAACCCCCAGCAGGGCCTGCTTCAAGCTTCCCGAGCTAGGGACCAGGTTGTGCCCACGTGTTTCCTGGAGGGACACTGAGGCCCATCAGCATTTGGGGCCAGAGCAGCAGGCACTCTGGTTGGGAGTGGGCCCCTCTGGGCTGTGCCCACACTGCCTCCCAGCAGTGAGCTCTGGTCAGCACAGCCCTCCAGCTGCCAGGCTGAGCCCAGGGGGTCAAGCTGTCACTGTGCCTAGCTTGGTGGAGTACACATACCTTCAGGCTCCTCTGGGCTCATAGGGTCTGTGTGTGTGTGTGTATGTGATCTCGTCTTGCTCCCAGGAGAAGCAAGGGGCCTACTGGCCCTCAGCCTTTGTCCAGGTATGGGACTCGGGTCACTTCTGTCCACACCTCACTGGCTGCAGCAGGACGGGGAAGGGCTGACATCCCACCCCAAGGGGAGACTTGGTGGGTGCTGAACAGGCCACAGGGTGGGATGCAGAGGGGGTGATCACTTGCCCCAACTGGCTTATTATGCTGCCTCTGGCAGGGCTGTATCTGGGCGCTGACTTCTTGTGCCCCCCTTTCCAGCTGTTGTGTTTTGAGCAGTAAACCAAGGCTGTAGTTTGTGCACTCTGCCTGCTACCTTCTGTGTTCCGAGAGTGCCAGGGGTGCCCCGGCCCACACTGCTGAGCAGAGCCCGGTGGCCAGGCCTGCGCCTGCACACACAGAAATGACTCGCCGGAAGTCATGGCAGGGCCGGGCTGTGCAGGGCCCACCCCCTTCTCGGGCGTAGTCCAGAGGGGCCACAGAGGCCTGTGGGCAGCAGGGCCTGCTGACCTCAGCTGGCTGCTGGGCTGGGGGCTGCCTAGAGAGACCCACTCCTTCCTGTCTAGGGCTGCAGGCCCATTCCTTTATTTTCATAAATACTGTGAACAGTTTGCGGACGGGAGGCCCTGTCCTCTTAGGTTGGGCTGGGGCGAGTGGCCACACTGGGTGCTGCGCCCTGGCCTCTGAAGTCTGTAGTGTTCCCGGCAGTGTCCAAGAGGCCTGATGGTGGCCAGGTGCTCCAGACAGGGTGAAGGGACCGTGTCCTTGTGTGGGCCATTTTGCCACCTCTAGCCCTGTTCTCTGTCCTTGACATAGTCCTCTGTGTGGTGGGTCCCTGTGCGTGAGCAAGGAGCCAGGCCTGAGGTCACCCAGCAGGGCCTTGTCCCTGGGCACTGTGTGCCCTCCTTGGCCCGTGCTGCCGCCTCCCTGGCAGGTCTGTGTGTAGGCAGCACCATGGGCAGCGGGTCGGCTGCCACCTCCTGGTCTCAGGGGCAGTGTGTACAGGTCCCAGGCGGTCTCGACCTAGCGCAGGAAGGACCTCCTCCCCGTGCGAAAGAAGGACTCAATCTGCTCCAGTGAGCGGCCCTTGGTCTCTGGCACACAGCAGCCCGTGAACACCAGGCTCACCAGACAGATGGCCGTGAAGAAGAAGAAAGGCACCTGCAGGCCAAAGGCGTTCTGCGGGGGAGAGTGGGGGGCAGGTCACCCAGAGAAGCTTGGCCAGCCTGCGAGGCCGCCCTGTGGCCCACTGCTTCTGGCTGGCCTCTCCACTTCCCGCAGGGTGGCTCTCCGTGTCCCTGACCACGTGGAGGCTGCACCTGGCCCAGCACACTCCTCAGGGTGCCCAGTTGCCCCGTGTGCAGCCCCAGTGATGCTGTCCCAGGCGGGCCCTCGTGGGGGTGGGAGGCTTGGGCTGTGCTGGAGGCAGGAGCCAGCACAGGTGATGGGGCTCAGGCCTGGCAGTGCTCTGGCTGTGTCCTGGCCTGGGAGGTGGCCTGACCTCTCAGCCTGCTCCCAAGCTCATTTCTGCTTCTTACGACCAAGGGGTCTTCGCTCTTAGCCTGTGTAAGGGACACATGCTGGTCCCCGGGCCACCGTGGGGGTGATATCACTTATTGGAGAAGGACCCTGGCGCCCTGCCGCAGGATGGGCCCTTGAGGTCCCCAGGCCAAGCACTCACCACCACAAGCAGGAAGGACTTGGTGAGGACGAAGGCCGTGAGCCAGCTGACCAGCACGCAGAGCCCCGAGGCCACCCCTCGGGCGCGCAGGGGCAGGATCTCCGACATGAGGAGCCAGGTGATGGGCCCCCAGCCCACGGCGTAGCCTGTGGAGTGTGGGGCACACAAACACTTTGTCTGACTCACTATGCTGAGAGGGCCCAGCCCTCCCCGAAGACAGACCAGGACAGTCCTGGCCTGGCCACCTACCCATGATGAAGAACATTGTGGCCAGCAGAGGCACCAGGGTGAGGTAGCTGGTGGGTGTGGCCGGGGGCTGCTCCGTGGCCCCCCAGGGCATGTTCTCCAGGCCCACAGTGCCATTGGGGGCCAGGGGCTTGGGGCTGAAGTGGACATACAGGCCCAGGGTCAGGTTGGCAGCGAACATGATCGTTGCTGTGGAGACATAGCGGCCCCTGGGGTTAGGACCCTCTGAGCTCAAGTTGCTTGCAAGTCCCTGGGGCCTGGCTGGCTCATGATGGGGCAGGGGATCCACTCTGGGCCCAGGCTCAGCCTCCAGCCAGCCGTGGGGCCCCCATTACCCTGAGGTACCACAGCCAGCTCTGTCACTCCCGAGCTCTACCTTTCTGGAGCAGCTGGCCCATGCCAGGGCTGGCAGTGGCCCCAGGTGACTGCACTTTGCTCAGGCCCTTGTGGTGGCTGCTGTCAAGCGGGCACACGAGTCAGAGGCAGGCTGCTCACCTGACACGAACAGCAGAAACTTGCGGCCGGCCAGGTCCATGGTGAGGGCGGCGATCAGCACGGACAGGAGCCTCACAGCCCCCACGATGGCTGCGTCATCCTTGGGGGGCTGCAGGGAGGGGCTGCTGTGGCTGACAGACCCAGCCTGCAGCTCCTGTCCCTGCCTCTACGACTACCCTGTCCCTCAAGGCGTTGTGGAGGGCTCTGATCTGAAGCCACAGTTGCAGCTTCCTGGAGGAGCCGTGTGCCCAGCACTTCCCTGCCACCCTGAGCCCCACGGGCACAGAACTGTGCGACAGTGGCCTGGGCAGCTGTGCTGTCCCCATCTTCCTGTCTCCGCTCCCATGGCCTCAGGATGAGGCAGGCCTGTGCCGTCTCCATTCGCAGCAGAGGGAGCTAGGGTTCTGGGGGTCAATGTCCCTTCACGTGGGTGCAGCCCCCAGGGCTCTAAGCCTGGGGCTCTGGTCCCAAGGGGTCCACATTTCTATTAAACTGGTTTGGTTTGTCATCCTGTTCAGTTTATTTTAGAGACAGGTGCACGGCTGGGAGACAGGTGTGACCCCAGGAGCTTCCGCATCCCTGCTGGGGTCTGAGTGCCTGACTCTGGCCCAGGTGAGCACCATGGCCCGGCGTCAACTCATGAACCAAGGCCCCAGTGGGCTCTCACCAGCAGCACAGCCGTGCTGTCGAAGATGGGCTGCAGGTAGACCAAGATGGGCGTGATGCCCGTCAGCTGCTGCAGGAAGCGCATCAGCAGGGCGATGAGGATGGGCCGGTACATGTAGGGGTCCCGGACCTCAGCCCACGACATGTGGCTGCTCTGCAACACAAGGCCGCCGCTGAGGGGGCTCTGCTGGCCTCCCCCACCCCCTGCCCTGGGATGGCCGGTGGAGATAACCCTGCTGGGCACCCAGGCTCTGAGAGGCAGGCCCAGCCCAGCCGAACCTGTCGCTGGACATTGTCCTGGATCTGCTGGAACTCCCAGCGCACGTCCTGGGTGTCGGTGGCATGGCGCAGCCAGGTCAACGCCCGCAGAGCCTCCTCCTCCCGGCCCCGGGAGAGCAGGAAGCGTGGGGAGTTGGGCATGAAGCTGAGCAGCAGGACCATGATGAACACAGGCCCCTCCCCGGCCACGGCCAGCCAGCGCCAGGGCAGCAGGAGGCCTGCAGGGGAGGAGCGTGAGGGTCTGTTGCAGCCCAAGGCCACCTCCTGCGGGGCCTCTGTGTGCAGGCAGGGAGGGCTGCAGAGATTGCCTGGCCCTTGGCATGTGGGGGAAGGGTGGGCAAGGCCTGGGCCCACCCTACAGACTCCATGGGCCTTCTGTTGCTGGAAGGCTGTCTGAAACTGCTGGCCTGGGAGACCTTGCCCTCACTGTCCAGCTAGGGAGTGGGCCTGGTGACCAGAGAGGGGCAGGAGACTGGCTGGAGGGACGCGAGCCCCAGTGCTGGTGGTGGCCTGGGGGACTGGTGAGCTGTCTGCTGCCTCCTGGCCCCCCGGTGGGCATTTTCATTCCCTTTTCACCCACCTGGCTCACTGGCACCCTGAGCCTGCCCACGGCCACATGGGGGTACTTGCCAAGAACATAGAGGGACAAGGATCCAAACACAGCCATGAGCTGCGGCGTGGCCCCCAGGGCCCCCCGAACGCCAGGGGGAGCGATCTCAGACACGTACACCTGCAAGACACACACACTGCTGTGGGGAGAATGCAGGTCCTGGGCCTGGCAGGCTGGGAGAGGCCACCCCTTGGAGCCGTGGGGAGTGGGGCTTCTGGTGGGGGCTTCTAGTGGGGCCTCGTTCTGACTGTGGCTCACTGTGTGCTCTCTGGCCTCAGATCCCTAACTGTAAAGTGGACAGAAGCACTGAGGTCTAAAATGGGGCGGTGAGGCTGGGAATTTACGAGGCTCAGGGGCAAACAGACAAGGGGGCTGAGCAGGTGCGTCTGTTTCTCCCCCGACCTTTGTCGGCCCTCTGGGCTCACAGGACCAGCTGACTGGTGTGTGTGAGAAGGACCAAGAGGGGTCAGGAAGGGGACTTCCTCTTCCTCCCTATTGCTCAGTGTGGGTTTTCTCCGATTGAGCAACGCTTCTGTTGCCAAGAAACTGGGTAGGAAGTTTGCAGAGACCAGGGCAGGGACAGCTGGAGACACGGGGAGGATTTCCCCAAGATCAGCTGCTCTGGGGGGCAGGGCTGGAGACGCCCTGGGCAGCTGCAGGGCACAGCTGCACTGGGCCAGGAGGTCTTCACCCAATAGTGGCTTGGCATCAATATCAAGGCCGCGTGGGAGCCCCCTTCTTACAGGGATGCAGGCAGCTGTGAGGCCCCCGGCGAAGCCTGTCAGCATCCTCCCCAGCAGCAGCATCCAGAGGCCGTGGGCGCCAGCCATGAGCGCGTAGCCGATGGCAGAGGGCACTGCCGAGAACATGATGCTGAGCTTTCGGCCCAGCAGGTCGTTGAGGAGCATGGCACTGAGGCCCCCAGCTGCAGCGCCCAGAGTGAAGACGGACTGCGGAGGAAGGGGGCAGACTGAGCACCCCACCTCCAATCACAGCTTTCTCCTCAGCTGCTCCCCGAAGCCCCTGAGGTCAACGAGGCAGGGACCCTGCTGGCTCCAGAGGTTTACTCGAAGTGGTTCTGTCTAGCAGATGCTCAGCATCTGATATTTTAGTATATACAGGAGCATTCCGGGACACGAAGGGCTTGCGACTTTGAGATTGAGGCCTTGGATTCCCTGAAGGTTCTGGCTCTGCTACTCGCTAGCGGTGAGTCTGGCGCACACTGCTTAGCCTGAGCCTCAGTTTCTCCAGCTGGACTAAGAAGGCGGCAAGAGCTCTCGCGCCCAGACTGGTCCTGGGAGGCAAGGCACGTTCTAGGGGTTCAGTGGACCCAGGGGTTTTTACCTTAGCTACCGAGCTGTAATTCCACGTCCAAGGTTATTGGGATCGTAAGGGCAGAAACTTGGACTCTTGGGGTCCCAGGCGTCCTTCCCAGGGCAGCGCCCCTCCCACTGCCACCTGGTGCCCCGCCCCATCCATCCGGCCATTGCTTCTGCCTCCTCTATCCGCCGAAATCATTCGGCCTCATCCTGCCGGCCAGCAGCGGGGAGTGGGGGGCGGGCGGGGCCCTGGAGGGGTCCCCAGGTTGAGCTTCCAGGGGTCCCCAGAGCCGCGCTCCCCGCCGCGCTCTTTCCAGGGCACGGTGCCTACCCCGAACCAGGACGCCTGGGCTTTGGTCAGACGCAGACCCGGGTCGGAGGAGCGCTCCAGGGCGGGGATGACGGGAGACGTGTAGACCAGGGCGTAGCCGAAGCTGAAATTGCCCAGCACGGCCGCGAAGGTGGCCAGGAACACCTTTCTGCTCGGCAGGGCCCTGGTGGGGAGGGGAAGGGGGACAAGAGGCCCGGGTCTCGATTCCTCCCCGCAGAGCCCGGGGGCGCCCGGCCCGGGGACACCGCGTGGGCGGGCGCGTGCGGCGTGAGGGCCTGGTCCCCTCGGAGGGGGCCGCCCAGGCCCGCACCCCGCTCCCCCGAGCTCACCCGGCCCGCGCCCGGTCCCGCGGCGGCGGCGGCCCCTCGGGGAAGGTGTCGTAGTCCCGGCCCTCGGCGCCCAGCAGCGGCTCCTGCATCTCAGCATCTGTCAAACGTCCGCCCGAGCCGCAGCGCGCCGCGCCGCCAGGCTCCGCCCCCCCGTCGCGATTGGCTGCGGGGCGGCCCTGCGGCGCCGCGCCGACCAATGGGGTGGCAGCAGCCGAGGGGATGCTGGATGCGGAGCCACCGCCCGAGGTCCAGCCAGCCCGCGCCCTGCCGGGTCCCGAGGTTTGGACGGCGCCGGGTGATGTCCTCGCGCCGCAGGGGCAGGGCCGAGCGGAGCTGGAGAGGCAAAGCGACTCGCCGAGGGCCTCCGCAAACGCTCGGCTCTCTGCCTGCCCTCCGCCGCCTGCGCGGGCGGGAGCCCGAGCTTGGCGGGGAGTGGCGGGCCGGGGCGGCGCCTGGCAGCGGCCGGGCCGGAATTTTCCGTTTGCAGGAAGAACTCCCGGTGATACAAGCTTAACGCTAAGAAAACCCAAACCGAAACTTCCCCAGAAGCCGGCCCCCCCCAGCCCCGGCTACGTCCGGCGGCCCGGGCTCTTCAGCCACAGCGCCGGCCACTTCCGCTTTCGCCCGCGACGTGGCCGCCCACAGTCTCAAGCGGACCCTTTGTCCTCTAGCGGTTGGGTTATTTCCAAATGTTAGCAATCAAAATAGTAAAGCATGCTTTTGAAGTCTCAGTTCCCTTTTATTACAATAGAAGCGTGATTGTAGTGGACTGGCAGAGAAAGTGCAGCCGGGGCTGGGCCCGCACCCTGCCTCCCGGGGCCTGTCGCCCCTCCCAGACACAGTCGCCTGGGGCGTGCTCAGTGTGTGCACAGCCCGGCCTCGACTTTGCATCGCAGTTTAATCATTTTCTCACCATGAGGGCAGACTTTGGACACAGACACCCCCAATAAAGGGCGACACACTGATCGCAGCTCTCCCTTTGTAAAATGGAGAGAGAACAAAATAAACTTGTTTTGGAGACAAAGTCTTGTCATGTCACTCAGGCTGGCCTCGAACTCACTCTGTAGCCCGGGCTGGCCTCCAACTCCTGGTGTTCCTCCGCCCTCAGCCTCCTCCGTGCTGGGATGACAGGTGTGTGCCACCACGCCCCGCTGGAGAGAACAAATTTTAAACTCACAACTCAATGAATCGACCTCTGTGTGCCTGCGATCATGGCCTGGGGCCGGAAACAGAAGTTCCAATCACCCTGGAAAGTCCTAGGCTTCCCCTCCCATTGAACCCCTCTCTGCGCCTCCCCAGTCCTGTTCCTGAATTGTGGATTAGACTTCTGGCTTCTGAACCTCATATACATGGGACCCTGCTCTTATTTCTGGCTCTTTATTTAATTAGCTAGTTTTTTTCTTTTTGAGACAGTCTTGCTGGCCTTGAACTTGTGACGATCCTCCTGCCTCAGGCTCTGGAGTGCTGAGATCACAGGAGTGTTCAGGCCTGGCCTCTGGCTCTTTTTAAAAGTTAATTTTATGAAGGTATGACTTATAGACAGCAAAAATAACTCATTTTAAGTGTATCTGTTGATGAGTTTGATGATGCGCTAGCCCAGAACAACTCCCTGATGGTGATGCAGAATGCTTCTGTCACCCTGGAAGCTTCCTTGGGCCTCGGGTCTTGGAAGTCCCCACCCCAGCCCAGGAAGTCAGCACTGTGCCTTCTGTGACTGCAGATAAAATTGAACTGCACTGGTCTTGCTTAGGGAGGGGAACCGCACATCAAGCGCTCAGCTCAACCGTGTCTGGTTTTGGGTGTGTGTTGACTTCCCTGGTGCAGCTTTCAGGTTGGCTTTTTCTTCCAGAGCAGGGTCATGTGGAGTGTGCTCTTCCCTGTCCTCTCGCTGGGCGGTCAGGAGCTTCTGGTTTGGGCTGAACGGCTGATGGTGGGGGGGGGGTGGTCTCGGCAGCCCTGCCAGGCTCTGCCCGGGGGGAACCCTGCTTTCTGAGTCTGCCGCTGTGGGCACTAACATGGTTTCAGATGTTTCTGTTTTTAAAATTGACAACGTGGGGCCGGGGATTTAGCTGAGTGGTTTTGCTGCCTGCTGCGCAAGCGCAAGGACCAGAGTTCGATCCCTGGTACCAATAAATAAATAAATAAATAAAATTAACAACGTGACGATTTCCTCCTGGGAGGGTCATTTGCGTGGTCCTCACCGCCGCTTTACCCCTCTTGCTGGCAGACTGGCTGCTTTCTCTTGCCTGGCCCGTGCTGGCCCCCCTGTCGTGGACCTGACTGCGTGCATGGCTGTCTCCTCCCCGGCTGTGCCCAGCATGGCACGGGGCTCTTGGAGCACCTGGAAGGTCTGCTCCCTGGATTCAGAGCCTGTCCTCTTCCCAAGCTCAGGCCACTGGAAAGCCGGGTTTAGAGGCGGCAGGTGGGCTGGTCTGGGAGGGGCCTGGCCGTGCTGGAGGCCTCTCCTGCCCTGACACACCCACAGGAGGGTGAGGGAGGGCGGAGGCCCAGACTGGCTGTCCCTCACTTCCTGAAGCAGAGCTCCAGCTGCACCCCAGGGAGGCCCGGAGGGGGTTCCACAGAGGAGAGGTCCAAGGGGGTGGAGCAAGGCTGCCCCTGCCAGTGCCCCTCCTGGGGGGTGGGGGGCTGGATCCTCCCAGGGCTGGAAGGTGAGTCCCCTGCAGCGCATGGAGCACATGGCAGGGAGGCCGGGCAGAGCCCACCCTGCCTCCTGGGTGTCTCTGTCACTGCCCAGTCCGTTTGGCCCACTTCAAACTCGGCCACTGTCCAGGGAAGGGGTCTGAGGCTCCCCGCGGCCCTGTCAACCTCTGGAGCTCCTGCGTCCCCTCTTCTCATCAGAGGTGGATGTGACTGGGGCCACCTGTCACGCTGTGGGGAGTGCTGACAGGTGTGATCTGCAGTTACCACCTGCCAGCCGGGGGGCAGTGAGGTGGTATAACCTTTGGCTACACCATAAAGGCAGAGGTGGCTGGCGTGGGATGAGCTTCTTCCTAGGCTTGACAAAGGTCCCTGTAGACCAGTTTGACAGCTTCCAGGTGCCCGGGGTGAACTGGCCAGGCTGCATTCTGGGACTGGCCCAGGGTCCAAGGTCTTCCAAGGGGGCTGCCCATTTCCGACTCTCTAGGCCCTTCGTCCCAAGGCATGGTAAGGAGGGGGAGAAGCTGGTGGGCGGGGCCTTCCTCATCTCCAGTCTGCAAAGGAGAAAACAGGCTCAGGAGTGCTATCCAGGGTCCTGGGGGCCCCCTGTGGCCCCTGCAATGCCCCCGCGGGAGTGGGGCAGGAAGGCACACAGGGCAGCAGGTGGGGACATTGTGCTGTTCTCCTTCCCACAGATGGGCCACCTGGGGCCCCGAGGGGAGAAGATCTCTGGCATTCAGCTTTCTGGGGCCCCCAATGCCCTTGGTGGTGCCCCTGGTGATGCCATCCCTGGCTCGGAGCCCTCAGACATGGTGGCCTCGGTGACCCTGGCTGTGGCCCTCATCCTGCTATTCTTCCTGCTGTTGGCCTGGCTGGTGTGGGACCCGCCTCGACAAGCCTCCTGCAACATTGGAACCAGTTCCCTCTAGCTCTTGGGTTCTTGTTTGGGAGCGAGAAAGGGGGAAGCCGACAAAACAATATGGCACAAGCAGCGGGGAATGACTGAGCGAATGTTTAACGGAGGGAATAAAAGGAAGAGCTCCCTGCTGGTCGAGGAGGGTTCTGTGAGGCAGACAGCGTAGACATTTAATCCCATTGGCTTTTTATACAGTTTTGGTTCTGGTGAACAGGACAGAAGGCAAGGATGCTCCAGGTGAGGGAGGCCTTTGACGGCTGAAAACTGGCTTCTTCGTTTGCATTTGACTTCCTCCAGGGCTTCTCCCATTTGTTTGGGGACCTGTTCTTTGTCCCTTGCCGTCCATTGGGCCCTTTGTCAGCTCACTCGAGCCCTGACCTTTAGTTTACTCCATATTAACTGTTCAGGACCTGCAAACTATCTGCTTAACTTCCTCTGTCTTCTGGCTTCCACAGGGGCTCCAGGGCGGGTCAGCCAAGTGGCCAAAGCCCTCAGCTCTCCTTTCCCCTTGGAATCGTGGGTGGGCAGCCGTGGGAGCTACGCTAGAGCCTGGCTCCAGGGAGGCCTTGTGTGCTTGGTGGGTGGCTAAGAGGTGGGGTCTGAAAGGTGCCCCTGGTACCTCTGTCTTCTTTCCTAGGTTGCTATGGGGTCTTGCCCTCGCCCCCATCTTTCCAAGGTTCCCCGAGGGTGTTGCAGAGAAAGCCGAGCAACCCCTGGTTATCTGTCAGGTGGGTCGCGGGTGAGGACCCGCTGGGGTGCTTGCTGGTGGACCAGTCCTTTCTCTGCTCCGGGCCTTGGTTTACCCAGTCTGCGTATGGATGGTGACACCAGCTCTGGCGCTCTGGGAGGGCCTCCAGCGGGCAGACCCTTGGGAGTTGTCCTCAGCACGCACTCCTCCCGTGTGCTTGCCCCCTTCCCTGTCCAGGGACCCCAAAACTCTTGAGGGAGGGGGAGACTGAGGTGGAACCCACGGAAGATGTGCTGGCCTTTGCTGCCACCTCCTGGCCGAAGACGGAAACGCACCATCTGCTCGGCGATCCCCCAGGATAGCCCAGGCCAGGCCAGGTTGGAGGTGAAAAGCTTTTTAGGCGTTAATGTGGAATGTGGAAAAAAACCAGGTTGAGGATAGGCACAAGAGCCAATGCCACAGAAAACTGCTCTTAGCATTTCTGCTTATCTCTCCCCACCTATGCGTCTGTGATCTTACCAAAGAGTCACCTACACGGGCCTCGGTGTTCCAGGATCCCAGGGAAATTTTGCGCTGCGGTCCAGGCTCCTGGTGCCTCCAGCCCCTCTGAAAGGGGACTTAAAGAAGAAAAACAAGTTCTTCCCAGCCTTGGCCACTCCCCCCGAAGCTGTGACTCCCCAAAGCTGGTACAGATAACAACTATTTCCTGTGAGCAAAGTTTATGACACTATTCTCATGTGATTCAGGAGACACTGCTTTCTTTCAAGGCGGAGTTACAAAACCATCTGCCCTTGTAAATTCGTTTGCTGCATCACTAAAAAGACCACCCCATTGGACCAAATGTGTAAAAGTTAAAACTTTTCGTC